AAAAAAAGCGATTGGAGATTCTAAATGTGGGTATACGACAGATAAGTTTGCCAAGCTCTGACTTATTTGTTTATATGTTCTTTGATCTTTCCCGTAGTATGTAGCACGATGCTTGGTGAATATTAATAATTGCGGAGTCACTGAAGCAAACTTGAATTTTTAACGCTCGAGTATTGTATTATTATAATGCCGTACCAAAAAGACACAAAGGAACCTCTATGGTGCGACTTTTTCACATCCGTCCGTCTGTTTCAGCGTTATATCTCAGCAACCAGTGTTATCAGCTTGACATTTGAAATAGTTTTACATATCATTCGCTTCCACGTATTGCAATAAGAATGATTGAAAAAAAAAAAAAAACTTTTAACGCTAATAATAATGCTAACGAAAATCGGACTAGAGTTCAAAAGTAGCGGGTGGCCCGGTTTATTTGTTGTCCAGTGTATATGTAAACACAACAAAATTTTGGCGGGAATAACCTTAGAAACTTGATGAATTTGTTTTAATATTAAAACTATATTGGTTATATATAGTTTTTGTGACTTATCATATTCACATGTTATCGATATATTAATAACATATCTAATTGTTAATAACATGGTTTCTTGAGTAAATATTAACTTAAGCATAATTAAAGTATATATACAACTTGATCATGAAATCTACACGTGTTTTTGAACTTGCATAATTTTGTTATTATTTATGTCTCGATTTATTTAAACATTATTACTTTTTATCAATCAATCAATATTACTTGAGTTATTAATCTTTTTGTTACCGAAATTAATTTATTAGGTACTTTTTTTAAAAAGAAAATATTAAGACATCAAACAATATTAAGTACTTAATACCGTCGAAATGACTCCTAATATTCCGCGTAAACGAAACTGGCTCAGGACTATACTAGACAAAGTAAATGTATGACAAGTCAATAAAAACAAATTCAAATGCATTCACTTTTAACACATTAAACGCTCACGAATATCTGCTCAATCATGAATTCTGTCCGCCCACTGTGCGCCTGCGCAAACACGAATGGGGCCAACGATCTCCAGCCTACTTTCTCCGCAGTTTATAGTCCAGAGTAACATTGCGGAACAAATGTGGACTTCAATGGAAATGCACAAGTTGTCCTGTCTTTGTTTCCAAAATTAGATTACGAGACTGAGAAACCGGAAGTTCTTTTTTTATGCAATTTAAAATGGCAAACAAGTTGATGTAGTTAGTGGAAAATTAGAGCCATTATCTGTAAACACACAATGTGAACACTATGATGTACTCACAGCTTATTTACTAATGCCGGGTACCATTGGCATTATGTGTTGTCATTCCTAAGGATTATGGATTTAGGCATTTATACCCCATACTATACCATATATTATCATAATCCATCCATAAAACCGAAACAAAACTATGCAAGCACAACTATAATAACAAAATTAAGCGTTAGGAATAGGAGTGGAATTAAGGATCAATTTTGATAGAGAAAAGTACCATTGCTTGAATACACCATGGACAGTATCTAAAACTATCTTAAAAATTTAAATAATCTTGGCATAATTTTTTTTATTATAACTCCTATGATTATAGCGATGCCATGGTCTGTTAATACCATAGCATAAGATTTTTTCCAAGATTTTAATTGTAACAAAATCAAACATTTTCTAAAGATCACTAAATTGTAATCAAATCATTTGAATATTGCAGTCATGCAATATTCAACTGATCTGTCACCACAATACAAAAACACAGTTGTATTGATTGGTGGAATGGCATACTTTTAATCTTTGAGCTCTCTATAATATGATTAAGTGTAAACCATTGTATCAAGTTGGTTCATTTGTCATATTCATAAAAGCTGCTAGTAAAAATTATTTTTGTTCTACTACATTCTACACGTACATTACATAGTTTACTAAATTTATGATCATGCAAAGGGTTACAATGTGATGTGTCCTTACACATAGTAAATGAGGAAATTACATTGTCTGAACTAAATACTCGACAGTAAGTAAAGAGCATCGTCATCAGAATTTACTTATATTACCATTGTTACTGGCAGCTTCACCAGCAAACTTTTATTTTAATTATGGCTCCATTGGGACTTTGATGTTTTTCCAATGTCAAGATTGGAAGAGACACTGCTATTTTATCAATGTGATAAAATTTCCTTATCTGTATTTGTTGAGTATCTATATTAGGGATTTTTCAGAGAGAATGGTTTACAATAATAGTTATGGTTGATAATGGTTAAAGTTAAAAGGAGATATTATAATTTTATATTATTTTGTGACAAAATTTCTTCTAGGATACATACAAAAGTAGAAGACTAAATTTATTAGATACTTGAATTTAACAGAATGACAGATATTATTGGAGAGAGTGACATAAAGAGAAATTGATATATTGAGGCATTCAAGTACTACGTATTGTATCCTTCATCATCATTATTATTTATTTTTGTTATCATTGTCACTGGCAACTTGGGCAGCAAACCTTTTTTTAAGCTCTTTACTTTTAAGATTCTTTTTTTAAATATATATTTTGTATTATTATTGTAATGTAATGAATACATCCAGTTTCTGCCTACTCTAATGGGAGAGAAGTGTGGCAGATATGTGTGTATATGTATACTAGTTTGTGTTATGTGACAGAATACAAATTAGAAAGAAAAAGTAAATAAATGTAAATTGGCCATTTTACTTGTATACTGGAAACATAGTAGCCCTTTAAGTACAATATTTTAAAAACATTACAACAATATTGTACAAGTATTATTAGTGAAAATAATCATTAAGTGAAATAAATGACTAGATGAATTTAAATTTAAATAATAACAAATATATAAAAACTATTATATATATATATATATATATATATATATATATATATATATATATATATATATATATATATATATATATATATATATATATATATAAACTAATTTTTTTAACTTTAGATGTGTTGCATACTTAAATTACATTACACATATTAGTAGAATTACTTTAGGTCAAGTTTTTGTTATTGCATTTACTGAGAAACCTGCATTGTACTGCAGATACATACTTATAACTTCCTGGGTGACTTGTCTACAAATAAGGTATTACTTTTTACCTGCCTTACATAAATAAAAGGAATTTTCCATAAATGTTTACTAAGTCTAAAGATATTATTTACTGAATTTTATCAGGCAATAATATGATATCAAGAACTGTAATAAATACCTCACACATGTATCAAAGAACAGTAAATTAATTAATAAAAATAAACACATGTGATATTTTATTTTATAGTTTTGAAAACATATTCAGACTGCATTAATATCAAGTCTGACATACTTACTAGTAAGTAAATAGTGTGTAATCCATTTTTAAAACTAAATTTTTATTTTTTATTACATGTAAAAAAATATTCAAAGGCACCAAATTTGAGTCATGCCTGTATAAAATCTGGTTCTTTATAGTACATATTATTATATATAATAATATTTTTTGTATAATATTTTTCCAAATCAAACTTTTATTTCATTTTTGTGATAAGTTTATGAAGCAGTGTTTCTGAAACTGACACACTTCTGTCAAAATTATTCTAATTAGAAATATCAACTGGTTTTTTTAAATTAAAATATTTATATGTTTTAAGAGATTATTTAGTAGACAAAAAGTTATTGATGTATGTTTGTGTGCATGTGCTATCAGGAATTTCAGGCCATTTCTAAATTTCCTGGCACTGATTAGGGATCGACTCAAATAAGTGGGGTACCTGCTCCCAGTCTAATACTTATCATTACACAACCTACCTACACAAATAATCTTTCGATGCGTCAATTAACTAAATAACATTAAGAACTCATTTTTTATATTATAGTGATGTATAGCGATTATGAATATATAAGTTATTTATTGAAATTTAATCGTAAATTATAATAGAAAATAGGAATACTACTAAAACCTATGTGACTAAACAAAAAATTTTCCTTGACAAAAAGCTTACGATGTTACAGTTACATGAACTAATAATAATAAGCTTATAAATGTTTCAAAAACACTTACTTTTAGTCGTGAAAGATTCCCGTCCCGTGCAGCGTTGAAAACGGCTATTTTGAAATCCATATTGGTTTTCTTCCCGATGACAAATATCACATTCAACAAAATGCCACTTTAGGAACAGCACTTTCTTCTAAGAATAATCATTGAAATTGCACCGTGTCACCAATAATCAAAGCAACCAAATGATTCAAAACACTCCGAAACGACACACGTTGACTATATAACAGCTGCAAGACGACGATACGATAAGCTGGAATCAGACAGGCAGCCAGTTTCTCGCCGATTCACCCAATTCTACCATTATAAAAATAAAAAAGTTTGGAACTGACTATAGATAAAGAACTATTTTTTTTTTTTTGCTTGTTGACATAAAAATTAAGACATACATAGATGATCAAACACTTTATAATATTGATTAAATATTTTAAAACAATAAATATATACAAGTTCGCCCGGCGAATACTACAAGAACGATTATTTATTGTCAAAAAATAGTAATAATATATAAATAAGTAGTAATAGTAATAAATAGTACGTCGCAAGATTGCTTCCTAATCACTAAATAGGTTTAATACACTTCATAATTTGTAATAATGTTGTTAGTTACATTATTACAAATTAGTGACAAAATAATTAACTAATTTATATTTTAAATTTCAGTTCCTACTTCTCTGGACAGTAGAAACTTCGTTGTTCATTCGATTATCGCTTTTTAGATATATTTATTATAGAGACTGTGATAGCTTATTATCTATAATTCTATAGACAGTCATCATCATAAAATTTACCTAGTTTATTTATTTATTACTTACGGATACCATTTAGAATGATCTATTCCAATGTCTTTGGAATATGAAGTCGAATTGACGAGTCCAGATTTAAGAATAGCATGATCAAGAATGAGTGATGTTCTATAATCTGTGGAATGAGATTGATGGATGACATCAAGAAATGACAGCCGAACAAAAATTACGGCGTGGATTTATGGTTAAAATTTTGCCAAACTGTTACTCGTTTTAATATTACTTGTTATTTTCCAATTAAATTGTAGTTTATTTTATATACCATCGTTGGTAGTCGTACTTAAAAGTTGTATATGTTATGATAATGACCGATAATTCAAAAGTTTTGAGGCAAAGTTTGTGCATATCATTGTCATTAGCGCGTAAGTCGATCTCCCCGGTATTTAGTGTGTTATAGCAGAGGCAGAACGTAATTAATGAAATGCTGCCCATAGTGCTAGCTAACGGATCTAAAGAACATTATATTTGATCGTGCTTGTAATTAATAATATTGAAACTTAGTTGCAACATGTATCCAACTCCGTCTCGGCATCCAGCCGCCGCAGTAAGGGTTTGTGTTATTTTCTATTTATTCTACGATTACTTACATTTGTTTATGTTATTGTTGACTTAAATAATATATATATATACTTTCCTATTTTGCATTGTAATGTCTATAGACCATGTTTGTATCGTTATATTATTCCAGGGGCCTCAACCAACGGCGGGATCTATAAAATTTACGATAGCAGATTCTTTAGAGCGTATTAAAGAGGAATTTAATTTTTTACAAGCCCAATATCATTCGTAAGTGTGCAACAAAGTGCTCAGTTTTCAAATTTTTAGATTAATAAATTAATTTATTATGTCAATAAACATTTCACTTACAGATTAAAAATAGAATGTGACAAATTAGTTAATGAGAAAACAGAAATGCAGAGGCACTATGTAATGGTAAGTATTATTTATTATTTTAAAAAATAACATTATATGTACAATGAAGTTATATTACATTTAGAATTTGGTAATACTATGTTATCTGTTTTCATTGTACATTCTTTAATATCATTAATAATTTAAATAATTATGTATATTATCCTATTAATTGATAATTTTCTTTATATAGTCATATCAAAAGGCAACAACTCAGCATCAGTTTAATTTCATTATATAATTTTTTTCTTTTTCAGTATTATGAGATGTCCTATGGTCTAAATGTAGAAATGCACAAACAGGTATGTTATTAAAATATAGTCGGTGTTGAAAAATTATACTCTTTGTCTAACATTGTGGAGGGGATTCAATTTTTTGTTAGTTTGTGATGAATAAACTCAAAAATTACTTAAGCAATTTAAAAAAGTCCTTCACTTATAGAAATTATATATATATTATCAGTAAGTAACATGGGTTGTATTGAAAAATGATGTAAAGCTAATTAGGCATGGGTAATATGGAAAACAATCTGATATACCAGTTTTTTTTTTTTGATATTGATGGCAGAAAATAGGTGAGTTTGATATCACCCATGTTGGTCAGACATCTATTTTTAATATGTTAAAAGTCTGTTATAAAACTATTATTTTTTATTACTTTATACTATTTTTATACATACATACATATCTGTCACGCCTGTCTCCCATTAGAGTAGACAGAAACGTTGGAACACCAAATACTTCGATTCAAACAAACCTCTTTCGCTTCTTCCACATTCATTCTTTCATCCATCTTCTCAAAATGGCCAAACCAAACCTACTATTTTTAAATCTAGTTTCATCCACCCGAAATTTCATGACAATGCTTGGGTCTGTTAAAATGTATACCTCTTGCACATTGTTGCATAAAAGCATATGTGAATGGATCACATATGTGCAAACATCCCCGATACACTATAAAATTAAAACAACCCCAACAACATATTGAATACATTGTTGTATTGTATTTGTAGGGTATTGTAGGCTTATCAAGTATATCTAGTGTACAAACTGCACATGTAAAGTTTTTTTTATACAACTCAGAATGGCAAACAAGTGACAAAGATTCTGTATAATTAACTAATTTCTTTAATAATATTGGTTTTCTTACACAGACGGAGATTGCAAAAAGACTCAGTGCTATAATAGGACAAGTTCTGCCATTCTTGGCACAAGAGCATCAGCAACAGGTTGCATCAGCTGTGGAGAGGGCAAAACAAGTTACCATGTCTGAATTGAATGCTATTATTGGGGTAAGTTTTATAAATTAATTATTAAAATGTTTACTAATATATTTCACAGGTGTGTTGCTTTAAACTAATGTAGAATTATCAACTTTGCCAGTACTTTAAAATGAAAAGTTTGTGCTAACAATATAATTCAACTTTTTTTTTTTTTTTTACATATACCCATTCCATATTTAAATAGTATTTTTATTTATTTGAGATATTGTTTAATTTTACACAGTGTACTTAGGTATTTACCATTACACAATAATATATTTATTAGTAACTTTTAGTCTCTCACAGCTAAGTTATAATGTAAATTGAATTAACTAGATAATGACAACAATAATTAAGCCATTGACTCTACACTGCCATTGTGATAAAATATGTATTAAGATTCAATATTGCGCCTTCATAATATGCTTTACTATTATATAGCAATTAGTTAGTAAGCAGAAAAATGCTTATAAACAGTAGCATACAGAAGACTAATTGCTAGGTCGTCGAATTCATATACTCTGTGTCATCAGAAATCAAACAATGCCCATCAGGGTGCATAACAAAGACATGTAATGTTACACCGTAAATAGGGTCAGCAGGAAAAATGCACTACTTATATATTTTTTATTATTAAGAAGAATAGAACACATTAGAACTTCACCATAAATTACTTTTATAATTAAGCCTTTTGTTTTTTACCGTCGCCCGCAGCAACAACATCAGCAGGGCCTTCAACAACTCCTTGTAAGTCCAGTTGGATATCGTGCTTGGTTTATGTTTGTTGTGATTAACAATTAATTTTTTACGTTGACACACTTTTGTTGCCAGTTTATTTGGTCACCTAACGAAAATTCAAAATTAACATGGTGTTTGTTTTAGCTGTTGCATTTTCGAGAATATGAAGAGATATGCATTATCAATTAATCACTTATCAGATAATAGATGTATCTATTTGGATTGTTATTGATCCTTGAGTTATCTATATAATCTATACAGATTATCTGATATCTATACACATTTGTAAGGGGAAATTAATGAACTAACTGTGTTGTTTAAACATAAGTTTAAAAATAATATACTGATTATGATTTATATTTGCCACATTCATGAATTTTATACTGTTTCACAAAATTTTATGTAGCAAATGCTCTATCTGTTATCTCTATCAAAAGAATATATATATTATTAAAATATTTATTAATTTAATATTTAAAAAAATTGTCAGATATAAAAAAATTGGAATAGATAAATAAGTATTTAAACACATCAAATACAACGATTGATCTAGAAAATATGGGTTGAAACCATACAACTGTTGTTCTCGGTTTTATATGAAAATATTTCATCTTTATTAAATATTTTATGTTTCCCACAGCTTTGCTCGCGTGATTCAGTACATACAGTAATTTGAGTATTATGTTAGGATATAGCCTAGCTGTGTACTAAATTTCATTCAAATTCATTCAACCATTTAAGTGTGATAGAGTAACAAATATCTAAATATCCATGCATCTTTACAAGTTTTCACATTTATAATATTAGCAGGACTAGCTAGACCTGCGACTTATTCCAAGTGATCAGAATAAATTAATTTATTATGATAAAAATAACCTATATTATATGTATGCCGAATTTCACAACAATGAGTTAAGCTGTTGAGACACCATGAGGTAACAAACTCACTTTCATATTTATAACATTAATAAAGATTAAATTATTAAAAATTTGATTGTTTTATGATTAGTCGATTAGAACTGTTTTGTTTAATTTCTCAAACATTAGTATGAGGGAGATTGCCGACATTTGAAAATTGAGTACTGTTATTATTAATAGAAGATCTATGACATTCTGGTATAGACATATTGCTTATCAGTTTCTGACCATTATTCAGTCCACACACATGTTACGACACGTGTTCCACCTCTAACCAAGGCATCTTCAGACAAATTAATCAATAGTAGTGGTAGTGGAATCAAACTATTTCCAATGTAGTGAAATCAAACTATGTACTAACCATTAATATGGACTTCCGCAATATAACACCTAATTCAGTAAAATATTGGTTGCTTTATATTTAACTTGTTCTTTGATTACCATATAAGCGTAAGAAAGCCACTGTTGGCCAAAGGCATTTTATAAAATACAATTTAAAATATGTAATGAAAATATATCTATATTAAATATTAGTAAATTTCACTAACTTTCTATATAATTTTTTTATTTATATTAACTATTTCTATATCATTATTATTGCTTTTTTACGTTAATATTTAGTCAATCAATATGCAAATCATTTTTGCAATGTTATTGTAATTAATTTGGGTTTGAATAAATTTGATACATAAATGGACTATATATATATATATATATATATATATATATATATATATATATATATATATATATATATAAAATTGGTCAATTGATAACTAATTTGTCAATCTAATATCCATTTCTGTGTCTCAATATGTTGTTTAATTAGTAAGATTTCAACTATATTCCTCAATTTCACGAATGGAAATGGTTTTAGAATAAAAATATACTAACAATATCATTTCACTATAATAAAAATAATAATTCAGAAAATGCATAAGCTAACATTTGTTGTGAAATGTACGCATTAACCAAGTTAACAAACACTGATCGAGCCACTTACATTGGAGAAACTAATTGGATATAAATGTTTTGTTATCTTTTTATTGTATGCGAGCACTGTTGATTTTTCCACGTAGTTTATAACCCGTGAATGCAAGATTTGATTTGCAACTTTGTATCTTGTGTTGGAGCATTGGTTTAATAATCAACTTTGTGATATTTTAGACTAATATGTTGTGATATTAATCCCAGCGATGGCAGCGGGCTTGCCCCCGTGCCACGTTGGGTTCTAATACGCCCAGTAAACTGTGAACATGTTGACTCTTAGTTTACATATGTCTATGGCTACCCCATTAGGAATTATAGCCACGAATTTATTTAATTTTTATGCTGTGCTAAAAGTTTTAAAACTAAATTTTTTGAGGTTGATAATCAAGCAGGCCTGCCTGGCGCGCGGCAGCAATATCTTACGAATGTTTGCAACATCAGAAGTATCACTTGCGACTTGCTGACTATAGTATAAAAGTTTTGAATCATAGTACGTAATTAACTGGCATATCTTATCTGTCAATGTGAAATAGCATGCAAAAGAATATCACAATGTATTCTGTAATGTCTATAGGCGAAGGTTATCACTTTCCATCAGGTGGGCCATCAGCTTCTTTGACATTCTAATTATTATAGAGACAACTGCATAATACTAATATTACTGTAACCACAAAAATAGGCATGGGTAATATGGATACCGATCCGATAACTATATATTGGTTTCCTCTGGATATTGATGGCGCAAAAAAGTTTAGAACCCATTTCGATATCACCCATATCGGTCGGATATCTATTTTGTAATATGTTAAAAGTCATTTGATAGCAAATATATTTTTTTTTAGATAACAGACTTTTAACATATTTGTTATTGGATTAGTATATAGATATTACTATATATTACCCCTGCCTACATAAAAGGTCTGAGCAGCTGGAAAATGCTGTGGATCTTTGCTATTTTCCTTTATTGTTGCTATGGTACGCTCTGCACTATAGCTTATTATTGATAAATGGGTTTAAAAATAATCCATTTATTTCATTAAAAAAAAAAATTCGTCACTAGATTTTTATTTAACTTTTAAACTTTTTCTGTGTAAGTAAACTTCGGCTACACACAACAAATGCATGATAAATTCCACTATGATCACGACACTGCTATGGCATCTGTCATACATCCGTATTGCTAGGCTTGCACATTTCTTTTCAAAGTACAATTTAAATACGGATCGATTCATAACAAGATAATGTAAATAGTTGTAGCAATTAAGCCGTATAAATCAACACAAATTGTTCGTTGATGTTAAAAGATTACATTTCATTGTTAACTAAATTTATTACTACTTTGTAATGTATTCGTCTTTTATTGATATTTTGTATGTATTAAAACTTGGCCCTATAGTTGTCTGAATCTAATAAATAAATAAAAGAAATTCTTAATTTAAACTTTTGCATATTTATGACTATTATTAGAGACATTATGACTATAACAATTTTAACTATTCTTTTTTGTTATATTTCACATAGTTCTTTTAGAAAACCTTAAATACATATATATATATATATATATATATATATATATATATATATATATATATATATATATATATATATATATATATATATATATATATATATATATATATATATATATATATATATATATATATATATATATATATATTCTTAAATAGGTACCCACATAGGTGAAGTTTAATGGGATGGTTATAAGAACTTTATGTTCGTCACTGGAATTAAACCATCATGCAAATTTGTCAAATATGTACTTAAAATGCAAAATATAACAGACATTTATTTGAATTATTTGTATGAATGTATTTTCATTACTAAATAATGTCACAACCTGATCACACGGTGTGTGCAAAATATTACTGTATAATTGTTAAATAAATTATTTACAGCAGATAACTTTGTTAGTATATTAAATATGATTTAATTTCATTTCAATTTATATATTAAATACATAGTCTCGATTACCCAATTTCGTTTTTTATAATACGTAATAGCAAATATTTTTTCAAACATCTCTCACAGTGGCGTAACAATAGGATGGCAGGGCTGGTAAAATGCCACGGGCCCCCGACCCAAAAGGGCCCCGGCTCAAAGGCCGCGAGCTCAGAATTTTTTTTTACCTTGTACCTGTGTATTTTATTTTATTTGAAAATAAATTATAGGGCCCCATCAAAAGAATTTGCCACAGGCCCCAAATGGTATAGTTACGCCACTGATTTGATATGATAATTGGCATAATTTTGTTTTAATTGTATGATTTAAATTAATTGAAATATAATTACTATCATAGTTACCACATTTCTTTTTGTTATTTGTATACACATTTCGTAATTATGTATTTTACATTTTCACATCGATTTAGTTTATTAATTACATTTCTCCTAATATTGGAGTAAAAGGAATAAAACTAACACATATATTCCAAGATTAAGTGTTTAAATTCATTTCTAGAGAATTAAAATATATATATATATATCAAATTTAACATTTCTATGTTGCTAATTTTGTGATGTAAATTAAGCTTAACAGTTATTCATTAACTAAAATAATTGGGCTATTTAATTAAAACAAATAGTGGTATGTTTTATACATTTACCCTCTTATTCATAAAAATTAAAACTTACAAATCTACTTTTACTATTACACTGTCTTGTCACTTTCTTTCAAATTGGGAATTTAATGTAAAAGAAAGAAACGAAACAGTCTAATAACCAAAAAAGGTTTATGTTTAGGTTTGACAATTTTGTGAATAAAGAGGTTAGGCTTCATTTAAATAAACTTTCTGGTAATTATAAAGATCTACTTATGTATAAGCGTTCCATCGTATTATATCAAAGTGATATTTATGTTCCAGCAACAGATACATGCATCAGCGGGTCTGTCGCACGGCGTGGCGGGCGCGGGCGGGCTGCTGGGGGCCGGGGGGCTGCTGTTCGCGCCGGGGGCCGGTCCTCCGCCGCCGCCGCACCTGCCCCCGCCACCACATAAGGTAAAGGTGATGAACAATCGCTCTTAAAACACTAGCTAGCTTTTTTCAAAATTTAGTTATTTGCATCTATTGTATATTGATTTTGTTAGTCCAATGCAACGCTATTTACTCTCTGTCTATTTAGCGTAATGGTTGACTGGTAGAGAATGCTATCGGGCATTAGGTCCTTCTATACTTATATATATTTTATTGTGTGCAAAAAAATAAATATGCGTAAGAGTGTCTAAAATTAGTCCCATGTGCAGTGAAATTACTGCCTACTTTTGTGCAGTGATGGTGTCTACATTTTGTCCCTTTGAAACTGTCAGTGTGTAGGTAAATGTACCATGGTGTTAATTAGTTCTGTAGAGGATACCTGAAATACTTTTTTTTTAATTTCAAAAGGCAAATTGATAAATAAAGTGTTACTTATTAAAATTCAGAATATCATATCATGCACTAATTCAGAATTAAAATACTAAAAAAAATAATTAAAAATATTTTAGTGTGTTTATTATTAAAAAGAAATAACAGAGGCTTTGAACAGAGCAAGAAAATCGCTTATATTAGAACTTGTATTGAGTTATAATATGAAAAAATTGCATAACCTTCAGTCTACATAGTCAACCTGACAACCTTCCTCTTGTCGGTGCAACTAATTCATGCATCTTCTTCCAGCCAGCTCTATCGCAGGCCATATCCTTTATCTCCCTATACGACATGACGCCTAGTGTTTCCTTTATCTGTCCCATGTAGTTATTCCTCGGTCTTCCTCTTTTGCACTCTATTTTTACTTCTACTATGCTCTTAAAAAATCCTCATGTCGTATAAGGTGGCCCAGCATTTTGCCTCTTCTATTCTCTATTATTTTAATTAATGTTCTTTTCTCGTTCACTCTTTTCAGGACTTCCTCGTTCGTTAGTTTTTCTGTCCAGCTTATCCTTTTCATTCTCCTCCATGTCCACATTTTGTTCTATGTCCTATAAACCTAATATTCAGATAATTCCCTATGAGGCTGACATAGTCACCCAGGTGTACTAAAGCCTCAATAAAAATTACCTTTAGTCTCCAAATTTGGTCAGACCGGAGGGAAGGGATTGTTAGTAATACGGACTAGACCAGTCTCATTGCTAGCAATATACCCTGTCAGATCGACTCACAGTCATGCCTTCTTATGGCAGCAGTTTCTTAAATTTAAAACAATTTTTTTTTTACCACAGGTGGAGCTGCCCCCTCCAGCGGACATCAAGCCGCCGGTGCTGCCTGGTGGACCGGCGCCGCCCCTGCATCCAGGTCAACCACCCTCTCGGGAGGACGACCGTCTCATCGCCTCTAGAGTATTACAACAGGTATACACTTGCATAAGCGTATTCACACATTAAGTAGTTAATGTTCGAGTATTAGCAATTAAGTCCGCTTTTTGTATTATTTTTTCATATCACAGAGGTGGCAAACAAGCATACGACCCATCTGATGGTAAGCGGTTACCGTAGCCTATGAACGCCTGTAATACTAGGGACATTCCGCGCGCGTTGTCAACCCTGAGGTAATCTCTATCCCTTTTTTGAACCTCTTATTTTAGTTTCTTGGAAAAACCTCGACGGGGAACTCATTCCATAGCCTGCGCGTTCGTGGGAGGAAACATCTCCGAAATTGCGCTGTATGCGACCATCTAGGCTCTTAGATATAGGGTTGAACTCCCTGTCGATGGAGAGTTGTACGATGGTAGAAGGTGGCTGTGGGCGGCACTATATTGAACAATTCCTCTGAACACAGTCCTTTGTACAAGCGGTAGAGCACGCAGAGTGAGGCAAAATCTCTCCTAAAACTTAAGAGTTTTAATCGTTTATAAGTCTGGGATCATCGACAATTCTCATAGCTCGCCGTTGCACTGAGTCGAAGGGTTCAAACTAATATGTAGGTGCTCAAGTCCATAAGTGACAAAACACCATGTGGAGCTGGATTTGTGGTTTATACAGCATTAATCATTGATTCATCGTGAATTGTATTAATCAATAAAATCTAAATAAATGAATATTGCATGTGCAGAAAATATAACAATGTATGCAAGGACCTTGATATTTTCCAAAAATCCTTGCAATGTTACATTAAGGCTGCCAATTTGTTACTTTAAATTTATAGCCGTCATTCTTTTAATGTTTCTAATATCGAATGTTATGCAGAGCAGATATTGGAGTGCAAATTTAATGCCTTTTTACGTAATATTTATTTTATAAATATATTAATTTGTAACCTGTTGCCTTGCTGTAAATAAATAAATATGTAATTGGTTACTACAGAGGCGGTCGGTGTCACCGCACGAGCGGGAACAAAAGTACCGTCCCCGCTCGCCCGTCGAGCCCGAAGCGCTGGACGTGAAGCGCAGAAAAGAGGAGAAGGTACACAGTCATGTGAGTCTGTGTAGTGTATGTGTCGCTTCCTTATTCACGTTGCTTATACGATTGTGTCCACTCAGATCGGTGGTAGTTGCTGTCGTACGGTGTATCGAATATATAGTACATATAATACATAAAACATAATTATTAAAATATCCATGTTTTTATGAATAGTACAAAAATAAGTCTGTTTGAACAGGTTGTGTGTTGCCATTAAAAAAATAAATAAAAAAATCATGTCATATGAGTACAAGTGGTTTCCTACTTTTAATGATGCAGAAAAATAGTCCTATGTAAAATTACTGGCAACATAATAAACGCATTTTATATATCAATTGCAGAACTCGCAGTTTTTTTTTATAGTCTCACTTTAATTAAAAGTTGTGTGAAAATTATTTAAAGTACAAATATCAATTTTAACAATTAAATACTGAAATATGTTATGATTTTCTAAACGTATTGTAGTGCCTTTAATAAATATTGTATAAAATAAATTACATGACCTGATATCCGTGATTTACATTTTTATTATTTTTTTATTGCACCAGTTGTACACTGTTATATAAAATATGTTTAAAAATATTAAACATTTTTTCAATCGTGTGCAATTGTATATTTTGACACGTTCCTAGTTGCAGTAACAGAATTAGATGGTGTTAAAATGAAACATAAAAAAAATGTGATAATTTTTAATAGCAACACATAGTTTGGTATTACGGTAACTGAGTTGCAATAAGTTACTCTGTGACACTGTACTATGTTGCTATGTTTTAAAATACAATTTATAAATTCACCTGTATCCAGCAACTGCCAGACATCAACGCTTTATCAGGCATGACGCTTTTAAATCCAATTAAATGGCTCACAAAATTTCGCTACGATCAAAGTTAGACAATACAGCTTGTAATTATTAACGATAAGACAAATTATATGATTAATAATAAATTATTACATTGTAGGACAGTGATGCTGAAAAAAGTGACCAAGATCTTGTTGTAGATGTAGCCAACGAGGTAAGATGCTGTTTGTGAATATGAAATGAGGGCTAATACTTTGCATGATAGAGGGCGACACTAGATATGTGTTCAGTCTACATTTAAATTGAACTATTAAATGTTTGTTTTTTATACTAAATAAATAACTTAAAAATTAAACTAAAAAAATAAGGTACTAAATTGTCAGTGATAGAACTTAAAAATTAGAACATGTCATGTTTAACATCACCAAAGCCTGAGGTTGCCAATCCGCCTGCCAAACGTGGCAACTATTACAGGTTAAGACTTCCCAATAGATGGAGGCCTATATTCAGCAGTGGACAGTTAACGCTTGCCATGATGTGATTTTACCAGAGAGAGACTTTGTATAAAAATGGTTTGCATTGGTTGGTACCTCAGTTACTTTCGCTTTTCTACCATAAAGCAGCTGTACTTGTATGGCTGTGTTTCAATTTGTGGATGAGAGTTGTCGGTGAAATTACAGAGTTTAGAGAATTACAGAGGCAATAAAACTTAGTATATTGCAATGTATTTTAAAATATCTATGGTGCTGTTCGTGTCTATAGGTAATGGTTACCACCAGATGAGCCATCAAATCATTCGTCATTCGAAATATCATAAAAATGTCCAAACTAGTTATACTATGCCCACTACTATGATAAGCTGAAACTGAGAGATGATAGGCTAGAATGAAATTATATCATTTTACTCATTATAACGAATTTGTCAAGAATTAATCATAATGGTTTCTGATTGGAGGTCAATCTGACGGGGTATTTTGCTGCTCTTCATTCCAATAGTTACTATTCTTTTTTCACTTCTTTTTCTACATAATGAACACATCTCAGGTGACGTGCTCTATATGTGCGCCATTTTAAAATGCAAAATTTGATACATGTCATTTGGTACATGATTTTTTGCTATCTCTCTCTCTTTCTCTCTCTATTTCTCGCTCTCTCTCTATTTCTCTCTCTATCTCTTCATTCTCTCTCTCTCTCTCTATTTCTCTCTCTCTCTCTCTCTCTCTATCTCTCTCTCTATCTCTCTCTCTCTCTCTCTCTCTCTCATACCATAGAATTATAATTTTTTCGTGTTCTAAATAGGCTTTTTAAAAAGGCGCACTATAGGTATAGAAATAAAACTGTTAGTCCTCATAAAACTTATCAGATAATACTTTAAAAACAACCGTTTGGTTTAGTCAATAATGACATTTATCGCGTGCATAATTTCATCTCATGTTTCCGTTGCTTTCTCAAAGAGCTAGTATAATTTTAGAGTATATTACAGTACGCATAAAATTACAGTGATTAAAACGAGTTAAAAAAAAACTTAACGATTCTATCACATTATCAGTTATTAGAATTTGAAAATTATTTAACAATTTTGGTTAAGTAATAATAATTGATTTGGTTATAATTTCTTTTTATTATTAAATAATTCAATTTTCATTTCAAAACTGTACAATCAATAATTTTCAGAGGTAAATAAACGAGCCTCAGTTTTGAATAATAGTATGTCTGTGGCACTCCCTGCCCCGCACGCTTCCTGCGTTTCTCCATCGTTGCCATCATGTCCATAGTATGCTTGATATTTAGAGGTGGATTTAGAATAAGAAACAAAAACTGATATATAGAAGCATTAGTAATGGCTGTACTGATACGATATTTATATATTGGATTCTTCTAGATATTAAAAAAGTGGTCACTCGTTTCAATAGCGCCCATACCAGTCAAATATCTATGTTTCGATGGAATTCTCCGATTTCAATATTATACTTTAGTTAACTTCTATTTAATACATCTGTTTTTACGTATACATCTTTAGTATGTTTTTCTAGTTTTATACCAAAAAAAAACTTAGAAAATTGATAAGCTTAGGCAAAACCAGAGAGAGACTTTGTACAAAAGTCGATTGCTTGGGTACCTCCGTCCCATTCATGTTTCAACGTGAAGCAGTTGTGTTTGCATGGCTGTGTTTCGGTTTGAAGGGTGGGATATAGCGTAAATTTACTGGGTACTGAAGAATAACACCTGAGTCCTCAGGAATGGCAACGCATGGGGGGTATCATGGGCGAAACAGTATACTCTGTTATGTCCATGGTACTGCTCATGTCTATAGGCGACGGTGATCACTTTCCATCGGGTGGACCGTTAGCTTGTTTGCCATTCTAAGTTGTATAAAAAAAAACGCTGTGAAGATGGCGCCACTTGAAGGTCCATTGACAACTTTGAAAAGATTCCATAACGACGAGAAAATAAATTCATTTTTCCATTGTCGCTATAGAGTTATAGACCATAACAGAGATATAGTTTATTTACGTCATAACACTGTTATGGATACACACAATTTGGTGTTGTCCTATTTTTCGCGAATTCATCCGAATAGCGAAATAATTCTTTTAGCTAATTTAAAATAAAAAATTGTTGGAAAAGTAAAGCAAGTATAATAGTAAGGATTCGTTTGTTTGGTCTAAATCCACTTTTGATACTAAATCCCCTTACTTATAATTTTAAAATTTCACGATTATTAATATATAATATAACTTATCTATATATCTGTGCCAGCTTTAGCCCTTGATCAGGTTAAAGCGAGATTGTCTTTCGGCCCACGTAAATTCTATAACACTTTGATTTTATGTGAAATAAATAATAATTCAAAACCTTTCAAAAATCAACTTTTATTGGAAATATCAACACTGCTCTGACACGTCTCAAAAGGCCATTATAATTTTATTTTTCTTGAAAAAGATTTTCATACTATTCCTTTATGATCTGGCACCTAGAACAACCGCTCTTCTCGCTCAACCCTAGGACCGGCAAACAATAATAAAAAAATCCTTACGAATCATTTAGTATTTGTAAGTAAGGGGATGTATCGTTTATTGTAGATATTCTTGGTACGGTGAACAACGCACGAATTGTAATGCATTACAGATACACGTGCGTAAAAGACAAGTGTTCGCCATATTATCTCTTTTTCTCTATAGCATTCTATTATTCGTCTATGGTTGTTAATGTAAATATGTGTACATAATATAAAAATATAGAAGTAAATATTGAATATTATAATCTTATGAAAAACAATATTTTTTTTGTCTTATATGCCATATTATTCAGAACAAAGTAATTCGCTACTTATTTGTAGTAAAAGAAGAATATAATTAACTCTATAAATGCTACGAGCAGGTTCAACCTTGCTTTTAGAGTATAAAGGAAATCACATCTGTTATATAACTAAGATATATAAAATATAAACACATTTTTATGTTTTGATTAAAGGAGGAAAGAGGATCTCCAAGTGTTCGCACAGATGGTGGCGAAAGAACGGAAAACGGACCCAGGCCACCGTCCAGATCGGGTTCCTCGTCAAGTCGATCCACACCCAAAAGTTCGAAAGACGTAAGTAATTATTTCTTATTTTGGTTACTTCCTTAATTGCTTTTAGTACCTTTTATTTGTTGATGAATAAAGTATTCACCTCAGTCAATGTTTAAACCATAACATTATACATCATCTATTTCGGCTGTGATTTGTTTTATCTCTTTTTTAGAGCTACAGTATTAATTTGAAAGAAAGTAAAAAAAAAACACTTGTACAGTTTACAATTATTGGTTGCTAGGTCATATCTGGCTCGAAGGACTATAATTTATGTAGTTCATATACTGGTGCTAATACTAATATTTAATAAAATTAATTTGCATATGTTTACTGGAAGTTAGGGGTCTTCAAAGGGGGTTAAAGAGGTTCCTTCAGGGTCGGCAACATGCTCGTTGCTCCTGGTATTGCAGACGTTCATAGGCTACGGTAACCGCTTACCATCAGATGGGCCATATGTTTGTTTGCCACTTCATTGGTATAAAAATATGAACAGTGCAGAAAATAAGCATAGACTTAGCAATGCCTCCAGAATTAATATTTAATAGTTCGGATATATGTGTTGGACAACTGAGTTCCTTACACTGTGGTAACGGTGTGTCCGCAGGAGAAGCCCGGCACGCCATCTGGTGCGAAGCTAGGCCGCGCGCCCACGCCGACGGGTTCCGCACGGTACGGGTTCCCCTCGTATCCGTACAGAACGCCCGCGCCCGCCGCCGCCTCCGCGCCAGCTCCAGCGTCCGCGCCCGCTTCCGCTCCGCACGGGTACGACTCGCATATGCGTACTAACGGCATCGCTCCGCCCAAGTCGTAAGTATATTGCCTGCTCTCTAATATAAATGAATCCATTAATAGTATTAAGAGAGAAAACACATGAAAAAGACTATGTTGTTTCGTTTTATCTATCAATTAATTTGTTTTGCAATTATTATTTGACAACATAGAATATTATATACATAAAAAAAATACATATTTTACACGTAAGTACATTTTCTAGTGTTTTTCTAATAATATCAATACAGACTGATAACACTTTCTACACTTAACTCTAAATGCAATATTATAGAACCACCACCAGTAATATTTTATAGAAAAATTTATATTATATATATATATATATATATATATATATATATATATATTATACAACTTAGAATGGCAAACAAGCTGACAGTTCACCACAGGTACAGAGGAATAACACCTGAGTCCTCAGGAATAGCAACGCATGGGGGGTATCATGGGCGAAACAGTTTACTCTGTTATGTCCATGGTACTGCTCATGTCTATAGGCGACTTTCCATCAGGTGGACCGTCAGCTTGTTTGCTATTCTAAGTTGTATAAAAAAAAAGGTCGCTAACAGATCACTGTCATTTGATCGTTACTAAATGGATGTGGAATTATACATAATAAATTTAATGTAATAATCAGTGATATGGACTTCGGCAACATCTACTTCAAGAAAATGATTACAACATTTTCCCACTTTGGCAAATGAAAGTAATGACCGCTGTTACCCGTGGGCCGGCAGCGCGTACTCGTACCTGCCGGCGGGCGCGGCGGGCGCGGCGGGCGCGGACGGGCCGGCGGGCGGTGGCGGCGGGCCCGGCGTACCGCGCGGCGCGCGCGCGGCGGCGGCGCTGCCGCACGGCGAGGTGGTGTGCGCGGTGGCGCTGGCGGCGGCGGCGCACGCGCGGCACGCGTACACGGGCGGCAAGGGCTGCGTCAAGCTCTGGGACATCTCCAGCCCCGCCTCGCCCGCCGCCATGGAGCCGCTCTCGCAGCTCGACTGCCTGGTACGTACCACGCACCACGCACCTACTCTACTCTATACTAATACATACATCGCAGTATGCCTTATTAGGTCGACCTCCACATGGTTCCCCCTGGAAACCATAGTGAACAATTCTCGTTGAATTCGTCACGATGGGCTAACTGACCTGCTTCATCTCCTCACCTATCATCCTTCACTGGTGCCCCACCGGTGTATACCGATAGTGCGGGTGGGGTTTACCAATCCATTATCATCCATTAAAAAAAATACATACATCATTCTATTCTATATATACATACATATATATGTGGATGATAATAGAGTGATAACTTGGCCTACGCTGACGGGGCACCAGTGAGGGTTAATAGGTGAGGATAAAAAGGCAGGTCATTTAACCCATCATGATGAATACACCTGGAATTCAGCACGATGGTTTCTAGGAGGGACCACGTGGAGGTCGACATGATAGAATTGATTGCTAGCAATGTAACTGACAGTCCGCATTACTAACAATCCCTTCCCCCCTTTTCTATGCTATATTAGAGATACAATAAAAGTAATTTAATGTCATATATATTTATACATAGTATTCTCGACGTGTGAGTTTAATTGGCACCTGACTGGTTTATTATGTGATACACCACACTCGACTGATAGTCTGCGTAGACTTCACGCCTAAATAAGTGTTCATTGATCCGAAGATATATAGATAGGACAAGAATAGGATTATAATACACATATGTATATATTATTTATTGCATGAGAATAAAATATTAGTTGAACAACTTGTTAGTAAAGATGGGCTTTTCAATAGATGATAATGCAATGGTAACCTCGCCTGCGTTAACGGTATACACTGGCAGACCACCAGTGAAAGATGATTAGTGAAAATGAAAAGGCAGGTCAGTTAGCGTATCATGAGGAATTCAATGATAAATTAGTTACGATGGTTTCCAGGGGGAACCGCGTGGAGGTCGACCTATCGGGTATATTAATAGCAATGGGGATAACCTTCCCCATTACTAATAATCCCGTCCCCCCTAAGCAAGGGTAGGTTTATCTCTAAAAGAAATCTCTGTCAGCCAACCCAATGCAGTTAGATAAAAAATAATTAGCAGATAGTGGTAAAATAATTAAAAGATTATAAGCATTGTATTCCTTCTCGGTGGGCAGCAACGCGACAACTACATCCGGTCGGTGAAACTGCTGCCGGACGGGCGCACGCTGATCGTGGGCGGCGAGGCGTCCAACCTGTCCATCTGGGACCTGGCCTCGCCCACGCCGCGCATGCGCGCCGAGCTCACCTCCTCCGCGCCCGCCTGCTACGCGCTCGCCATCAGCCCAGACTCCAAGGTACCGACCCTCCCGCCCTCGCCGTCACCACGTACACTGGGGACATCTGGGACCTGGCCTCGCCCACGCCGCGCATGCGCGCCGAGCTCACCTCCTCCGCGCCCGCCTGCTACGCGCTCGCCATCAGCCCAGACTCCAAGGTCACCACGTACCCTCCCGCCCCACGCCGCGCATCGCGCCGACCACGTACGCGCTCGCCATCAGCCCAGACTCCAAGGTACTGGGGACATCTGGGACCTGGCCTCGCCCACGCCGCGCATGCGCGCCGAGCTCACCTCCTCCGCGCCCGCCTGCTACGCGCTCGCCATCAGCCCAGACCCTCCCGCCCTCGCCGTCACCACGTACACTGGGGACATCTGGGACCTGGCCTCGCCCACGCGCCGAGACCTACGCGCTCGCCATCAGCCCTCGCCGTCACCACGTACACTGGGGACATCTGGGACTGGCCTCGCCCACGCCGCGCATGCGCGCCGAGCTCACCTCCGCGCCCGCCTGGGACCTGGCCGTCACCACGTCGCCCACGCCGCGCATGCGCGCCGAGCTCACCTCCTCCGCGCCCGCCTGCTACGCGCTCGCCATCAGCGCGCAGACTCCAAGCGCCCCGACGCGCTCCCATCAGCCCTCGCCGTCACCACGTACACTGGGGACATCTGGGACCTGGCCTCGCCCACGCCGCGCATGCGCGCCGAGCTCACCTCCTCCGCGCCCGCCTGCTACGCGCTCGCCATCAGCCCAGACTCCAAGGTACCGACCCTCCCGCCCTCGCCGTCACCACGTACACTGGGGACATCTGTAATTACGTTCACGAAATTTGAAAATAACGGTTATTTTTTTGTTAGACCTCGTATATATATATGTTACATGTTTGTCCTAATATTTATTAAAAATATGTGTATTTCACCAGGTATGCTTCAGTTGCTGTTCAGACGGCAACATAGCTGTATGGGATCTCCAGAACCAAACATTAGTTAGGCAATTTCAAGGTAAATGTTATTATGTTGTTATTTACATGCTTTGAATTTTTCAAACAACAATTTTTCACTGTTTCTTCCTTTTCTCCATTACTAGCAATATATTTCGTCAGGTCGACCTCCACCCGGTCTTCGCTGTAAATCATTGTGGTTAATTCCAGGATAATTAATCACTAACGGCTGACTGGCCTGTCTTAATCCTCATCTATCATCACTCACTGGTGTCGAGCTGGCGTATAGTGATAGTCCAGGGTTTTTTTTCATGGATGATGATGGAATGGTAGTCCCGCCCGTGCTAAAGGTAGAGGTCGACCTGTCAAGGTTTATTGCCAGCAATGAGACTGGTAGTCCGCTTTACTAACCCCCATCTCTCCAGCACTGGCGGAGTAATCATTCCATTTTATCTCATTAAAAAAGTATGACTCTATTGTATGGGGGGGGGGGGATAGCTGCTAGCAATGTGATAGTAATGCGGATTATCTATCACATTGCTAGCAATACACCATGGTAGGTCAACCTTCTCGTGGTCTCCTTTGGAGACCATCGTGTTGAATTCCAGGTGTATTCTTCATGATGGGCTAACTCACCTGCTTTTTCATCCTTGCCTATCATCCCTCACTGGTGCCACGCCAGTGTGTACCGATAGCTTGGGCGGGATTACCACTCTATTATCATCAATTAAAAAAAACTCTATTGTATGTGTCAGGTCACACGGACGGCGCATCGTGTATAGACATCAGCCCGGACGGCACGCGGCTGTGGACGGGCGGGCTCGACAACACGGTCCGCTCGTGGGACTTGCGCGAAGGCCGCCAGCTGCACCAGCACGACTTCGCCAGCCAGATCTTCTCGCTCGGCTACTGCCCCACCGGTACGTATCTACACAACATAAAACAGTACTCTGTGCTAATACTATATTCGAACTTACAATCCTAAGGTTAAATGAAGAGAGATAGATAATATCTTTAGCATTAGCCATGAGCAAAAGTTTCATCTCAACCATCTGGACGAGTGGCCGTCTTCCACAGTGCGTTTATCAAGGCATTTTCTTCCACGCACAACCACTCTTTGGAATCAACTTCCAGCAGTAGTATTTCCGAACCGATACGCCATCATAACCTTCAAGAAAAGAGCATATTCCATTTTAAAAGGCCAGCAGTACATCTGCAATGCCGTTGTTGTTGTGGGTGATCATGGGTGGCGGTAGTCACTTACCATGCCGCATGCTCGTTTGCCCCCTGTGCTGTAAAAAAAAAGTCCTTGTACACATATCTTGCACTAAAAATTGAATTAATGCGGGATGCTAAATAAATGGCAACCCCTCCTATGAGTGAATGTTGGTAGGGCACCAGTGATGAAAAATAGGTGAGGATAAAGTCAGGATAGTTGGTCAATCATAATGATTTCACTACGATTTTACCATGATGATTTTCAAGGATGCTGTGTGGAGGTGGATCTATATTCCAATACATACATAACAATACAGTATGTATTGACATTCTGTATAGTTCATTCTGCTAGTTCCCATTACTAATAGTTTTCCCCCATTTCCTCCCATTGATTACGAATAATTTTTATTCAGATTAATTTAATTAGGATTTTTATTTAGTTATTTTTTTTACGATTATACTGCCGAATACAGAATGCAATATTGCCTAAAATTGTTTAAGAAATTTAGCTGTTACGTTTAGCCGTTACTTGCGTAAACCAGTATAAGAACTATGCACTCCAACATATTATACAATGTACTTGCTACCCATACATTTAATATTATGTTTATTCTCTTAATTTATATCGCTTTATTGTTGTCATTGTGATGGAACACAAATTGGTTACTTTATATCTGTATAGTCCATGGCTTTGGGCCACTGATGACTTGTAACACAGGTCTTTTTAAAACCTACTGCAGGCACCAATAAAACAACAACAAAATATTCTTACACATTTAATTGTACCTTAAGCTATCACCTTTTACTACCTTCAATGAAGAGAAAAAAAAATCATTCATTCATTTATTAAAATTTAAATTAATTATTTAACCCTTCTTTGCATGATTTTTTTTATTAGTGAAATAAATCAAGGTGATATAATTAATGTTCAAAATAAAGGAAAAATGGTTTGAAAAATAAATTTGACAGCTATAATTTTTTTTTCTGCAATGGATATTAAAAAGGTATTTAGACACGATCAACTTAAAGTGAAATTGTTCTTTTATATATTTTTTGGGCATTCAATGTTATGATGGAAATTTCCACCAGTATGCAAAGAAGGATTAAATTATCCTTTAAATCAAGTCCATCAAAATTAGTACTCGAGGATGGCGCGAAGATTCAAGAGCAGCGCCATAAAATAAAAAAAAAAAAGATTGAGTAACCTCGTGGTAGAAGCTTCCAAAATCTCAGGCTCACCAGGTAGCCTGAAGCGCACCTGCTCTCATTTTATTTTGTAAATATGTCTTGGTCAGGCTCGTGGCTGGCGGTAGGCATGGAGAACTCTCACGTAGAAGTTTTGCACGCGGGCAAGCCGGACCGGTACCAGCTGCTGCTGCACGAGTCGTGCGTGCTCTCGCTCAAGTTCGCCGCCAGCGGCAAGTGGTTCGTCTCCACCGGCAAGGACAACCTCCTCAATGCCTGGCGTACGCCCTACGGCGCCAGCTTGTTTCAGGTATTACAGTATACTCTGTTATGTCCATGTTACTGCTCATGTCTACAAGCGACGGTTACCACTTTCCATCAGGTGGGCCGTCAGCTTGTTTGCCATTCTAAGTTGTATAAAAAAAAACTTAAATGTATGATAACCTTGTGAGGCAGTTGAGGGCGAGGGATGGGCAGTAACGTCTCTCTTTAAACATCTCCAAAGTCTAACTGTGGTTACCAATCCGCCTGCCAAACATGGTAACTAATGGTAAAACCCCCCATGGGAGAGGTTTATGTTCAGCAGTGTACAGTTAAGAGACTGATACGAAGTACGAAACTTGCAGTGCTTGCTTGCTTGCTTGCGTGTAGTGGTTTATTTCACTGCCTTCAAGAATTTAAACACTTGTATATATGAATATGCCTATTTGTGCTGTCGTCTTTTTTTTAATAGATGATAATGGAATGGTAACCCCGTCTGCGCTAACGGTATACGTTGGTGGAGCACCATTGAGAGATAATAGGTGAGAATGAAAAGGTCAGTTAGCCCGTCGTGATGAATACGTCTGGAATTCAACGCGATGGTTTCCAGGGTGGACATGTGAAGGTCGACCCGATAGAGTAGATTGTTAGTAATGAAACTGGTAGTCCGCATTGCATATAATCACTCCCCCCCCCCCTCAATGTGATCGAGTTACCCAGGAGATTTGCACAATTTCTGTTTTTCTTTCTTTTCTCAATGTTCTCTACCCAAAGGTTGTCTGGAAGAGATCGCTTAGCGATAAGGCCGCCTTTTGTATCACTTCTTATTACAGTTAAATGTGTTTATTATTTTATAAATGGTGCAATAAAGTTTAAATAAATAAAATAAATTTCCAACTGGTAAAACGTATTTCAAATAGATATGTTCCGTTTTTAAAATGTTATAATTATTTGTTTACAGTCAAAAGAGTCATCATCGGTGCTCAGTTGTGATATATCGGCGGACGATAAGTTCATTGTGACCGGCAGCGGTGATAAAAAGGCGACAGTTTACGAAGTGCTCTATTGAACTGAATTTGCAATAAATGTACAGGAGGCCCAGTGAGGCGGGAATCGTTTTATACGCACGAGTTGATTGACTGACGGAAATTGTAACGTATTAACGTTTCTCATGATTCTCACCGTAGATAGTTTGTCCGTGCATTTTTGCATGAAACAACATGTTTCATTTTAATTAATGATAATTGAATGATAACAACTGCTTACCATCAGGTAGGCCGTATGCTTGTTTGCCACCTCAGTGGTATAAAAAAAAACGATGTTTCTGTTATTGATTTACACTAACGGGTATCATGGACTGTTAGATGAATAAAGATAAGCAAGGCAAAAAAATAAAGGCAATTCGACTCGTCACAGGAGGAAACTTACAATTTCCAAGTTGAGTCCTTTATTTTTACTCTATATAAATATGTCTATGTAAAATATGATTCCTTATTTAATTCACTCAGTGGATGAAATTTTAAAGATCTCTTCTTAGTACTTACTAAGTCTCTTCTTAGTTAATTTCTGACCACAATTTCATGCTTTTAGATCCACTGGATTAAATTTCGTTTTAATATCTTACAGTCAGCAAAAACAATTTTTTTTTTAATAAGAGAACCGCATGGTAAAGTATGAAAGGTACTAGTTTAAGTGTAAAAATACTTTAAGTATTTTTATACACATATAAAATTGAAAAGTATGTTTTTGTAGATATTTATCTATATTTTATATTTATACTTCAAATGGACATATAGGATAACTCTTATTAAATTGTATTGCATTAAAATGTAGAAGAAAAAAAACCTAAATGATTTTAATATGTAAATTGACAAATATTTGAGTGGAAACGCGGATCCAACATCTAACAGCTAATTATAATAATTTCATATACATATCATGTATTTATATAATATGTAACAAATTAAAGGAAGTGATGTCATATTTTAAAAGCACTATAATTTAATGAGTGTTACCATGTATATTAAAAGGAAATAATATAAGGAAGTACAATAAGGTATTTCTTTTTTATACACATTTACAATAACATTCCAATGAATTTAATTATTTATTTCATTTTCATTGAATTACGAAATGTACAAATTTAATTGCATTTTGTAACAATTGCAAATTTCGTCAGTCAACCCAAACTCTATGGTATATGTGTAATTGTAATGATATAGATCAATGTTGCAACGTTAAACATAATATTATTAGTGTTATTGTATATTTTTATAATGAAATCGAAAAGCATTTTTATTATTATTTTTTGTTTTTAAGTTTCAGTTATTGTCGGTCCATTTTAGTATATATATATATATATATATATATATATATATATATATATATATATATATATATAATTATATAATTAGACTCGGATCATAAGCATATTATGATTGGTCTGCAGACTGAGATTTTATTATAATTTATGGGGTCGTTGGACAGTTCGATTCATGCCTACAGAATAAATAATCCTATAAGACAATTTGTATAAATATCAATACATATCTTCAAATTTATGAAATATTTTCAGCAAAGAAATAATAATAATTATGGGGGACGAATGATGATGTTGTTTTACCTGATTCTAGATTAGTGTTAATTAAATGAGGCGGTAAAAAGAATTGTGTCCTAGAATATTTTTTTTTATTCGATTTTGATCTTTAGTACAACGGAGTAAGGGGTAATGTTCATGAATTTGGTTTAGTAATGAATTAGCCTTCTTATTTATAAAAAATATCTAACTAATCTATTAGCTATTGAAGTGCTAGTGCGTCTCTTTCTTCGACCGTAATTTGAAAGAGACGAATTACTTGAAAAGAGAGGTGTTATTTTTATTACGCCACTAATTTACGTGGATGCGGAATTTAACATGGCGCGTAGAGTTAGACGCAAATTGAACAATTCAAACGTAACAATATATGAAAAGCGTCAGTGAAGTTCTAATAGTACGTATGTCAAAAGAGTCTACAAGAGAACAAAAAAACTGTTTCAAATTAAAGTCGGATGTATTTGAGGTATATATTATTAGGAAAAAGTATTTGAAATCAATTTATTAAAGAAACCGTGGCCGTTTAGGCCATTTTTATAAAAATCTTTCACTAATAAGATATTAGCGTGACTTCTGCACTGCTGTTTAAAAATTACTTATATTTACATCGTGTTTCAAAGTCAGACAGAATTGGCTACATACTCAAATAGATGTTTTATTTACAATCAACAAACAAATCGAAAAAAGGGCGGTGGGAGAAGGGGTCTTCAGTGGTTGTATTTTTTTTTATGTTTGTCACCTCAGTACTCCGTCATTTTTAAAAGTATTTGGTAAATACGCATATATAATAGATGACTTCAAATGTAAAGTCTTTAAAAATGTCTGCACCTTAATTTGTCCAACAAAAATTGCCTGGGAAGCATTGTTTGCTATAAATTCTTCTAAAATTTCTTGTTTTTAACTTTTTCTCGCAAAAAAAAAGCGAGACAATATACCAACTATCTTCTTTCATTTCCTGCCATATCATTCCAGAACTTAGAAAATATGTTCTGCTTTTTATCGTCAGTCAAGCTTGAATAACCACGAACTTTAGACTTAGTACAAAACGTAGATTTACTACGTGGTTCCATATTTCGTACTGGACAAGGTACTGGAGCACTTAGAATTTTTCATTTGCTTCTTATCTCTTATCCAACACACTTTTCTCCTTTCATGTGTTTAATAATTTCGCAATAAATTTGGCCCATTTCTTAGAGTTCCTGAATTCTATAAATTATTATTGGCACACCACTAAATAACGTAAATATTTATCTTTTTTTATGGCATGCGGTACAGTTTTTAAGGCATCTCGTCCTCGCTATTGGATACAGGTGACAGAATGCCTATACAAGAGGGTACATGGTGGGCGCAGTTTAGACGCAATATTTCAGGAGCATAAGGAAGGTACTACGGCCGGATACTGCAACAAATGAGTATGTGGTCGGCCCCCGAACTGGCGACCTCTGCTGTCTACCGGTCCCCAATTCGAGGGAGGACCGATCACCGGCCGAATTATTACCTTTACCATAAGTAAATCCTACAGACGACTGTAGGTTACGAATCTATATGCTGACTGACTAACTTACGTAATGTTGACTTGGTAGTTTATTTACACAATGTTACTTGTATTGAAATATGCAGCGTCTCTATTTAGATATCTCGTTTCTGATTTAATGAAAGAAAGCACCTCATATTTATCCATTGAATGGTATCAAAATGTCAAAACTGCCAAAAAATGAGTTACGCAATGTTAGAACTTCACTGACGATATGCGGTCTGGATTTTGCTTAGGGATTATGAGCAAATTTTTTTTAATATATGCCTAGCTGTCATAAATATTGGTAAGCTGCGAGATAGCAGCTTTACTTACACGAATTAGAATAAAAAGTTATCATAATGTCCACGTCATATGTGCGAGCGAAAGAGATAGAATGAATATTCTCCGAATTTAGGTAATTACCAATATTTATGACTTGACTGTACAGTACAGAAGTTGATATGCTTTAGCACAATTGCTTAACAAACTTGCAACAGATTGGATAGCATAAACATCGGTAACATATACCTATTTATGATTTTTTTTTTATATTTTAATATCCCATAATACCAACATTAGATTGTCGCTAGATGGCGATGTTGATTTAATTTTATTATTTCTCCAATAAAATACGTATTTGTACTAACTTGCCTTACATATAGCATTGTACTCAATTCTGAGACGCTGTTCCTCTAAACTTGCCTATTTTAGTTTGATATCATAGAGAATTTTTTATTGTAAGGACTAATGTTAACTCATTTCAAAATAGATTTAATTACATGACAAATTAAAACTATTATAATTTAAACTTATAATGTTCCATTAAATAATTATTTTGCTAAATTATCAAATTTATATATTTTTAATCTGCAAAAAATGCTTTTTTAATTATAAAGCACTATTATACCTACTTGTACAACAATCAGTCCATTACCCTTAAGGTTGTCTTGAAAAGATTGCTCTCAGCAATAAGACCGCCTTACTGTACTTATACAATTGTATCGTTATGTTTGTAAATTGTCTTGTTTATTTCCTATATTGTATAATGCAAATAAAGTATACTCATTCATTCAAATTAAAATATTGGGTTAAAAGTACGGTATTGAAGGCTACGACTATTAAAAAATCGTCATGTCATGTCAAAAACATTGGGACTCTATACTTGATAAGTAACAGAGCCAAGAGAAACGCGTGAGAACCTGAGACAACTCTGGTGCGCACTTCCTAAGCACAATTGGAGGAATACTATCGGCCCCACTCGACTTCTAGATTTCAAAGGAGAGAAGCGCTCTACGCACTGAACTTTAATTTTATTATCAAACTAGTTTGTTCTATATTTACTTCCGAACTACTCGCCATGTGACTCAAAGTTCCGCTTCTTCTTAAATAAGTTCTAAAAATATAACAATTTGTACTGAGTTCCTTAACGAAACTACTCGTGTGAGGGTGGCGCCCTCTCTGTCGTATCAAGTGTTTTTCGTTTTGCACGGAGGCTCCTGACATGGCTTAGTTCCTTAGTTATCTGGCAAAGTGAGAGCATTTTGCATTTTAACAGTATTTCTGTTGTGAAAGTGGTTTGTTTTGTTAAAATAATTTATTAGACGAATTATCATTTCTGATATTACTACTTTTTTTTTATTGTGAAATATATAATTATCGGTTTTAAATCTGTGATGAGGTGTTTTTTTTTTTTCAAATTCTTGACGAATTAGTAAAGAAGTTATTTATAACTTTACATATTAATCAAGTATTCTCTGCGCGTAATAGTATGGTGCGTGTGATTTGCAATGTGATTAACAAATAGTATTTTGACATTTATCTAGGATAACTGTATTGTGATTTTTTATGTCGAAATCAATGTAACAATCATAGTTTGATACTTTCTTATATTTGATTCTTTTATCATACATATATTTTTAAATTCAGAAGTTACGTTTTTAAATAGTTTTTTTTTTCTACAAGTATCCTGTCACCTACAGCTTACTACAACGTGTAGAGAATAAATTAGCAAAAAAGCAGTGGATTATAAAACATTTTAAAATTGGTATTGTTCCAAATAGGATTGTCATCCATCCAGTTCTCATTTAGAGGGTGTCATGTAATGCTTGATCTAGTGTTTGTACATAGATCACATTTTAACATTTCAAAATGTGCCCTAGCTTCTCGGAATATTTGTCACATTTTTTTATATGTATGATAGCAAGCAGGCTGGACTGTGTGTACGTTAATCGCTGCTGCGCAATTTCCAATGGAATTGTGCAGCGGTGATTATCTGTATACTGCTTAATATATTGTATGTGTGTATGTGTATGTAAATTTACTAGCATTAGTTTTTTAAAAATGTTGTTTACTAATAAATATTTAATGGACCAAAAAGTCTGAAATAAAAATTATTATTATTATTATATCAACAATAAATGTTTTATCGTAATTTCGGTCGAATTGTAATAAAAGTTTACAGTATGATGATGTAAAAAATTACACACGTTATTAAATGCGGATGATAATCCAATTTGCAAATATTACTGAACCACTTTTTAGTCTATACACTATGTTTCTTTTTATATCAATGATATTTAAGAAAACAGAAAAGGAATTTTAAACAATATGAAAATATGTAATTTTATTTTATATCAAAATTGATAAGATACTTAAAAATGTATCTGCCATGTAACATAATGAAATATCTCGATTTTTGTCTTGGTGAATGTTCCATAATTATTGTAATTGAAAAGATGAATTTTGTTTTTGATTTTTAAACCTAATCATGTAAATTGTAACAACAAAATTTTCAAACTTTTAATATCATACAAATGTTTTGTCTTTATTCCTTTATAATTATGTATACTGACCTCTCTATTCATAAAAACTTCAAGTCTCTCATAAACTTTAGCTATTGACTTGTATTGTCTCTTTCTTTTGTGCTAAATTCTTAATTTGAATAAAAGTGACAAAACAGTGTAGTAGTTTAAATAAGTTGCTAGGTTTTAATTTTTATGAATAAAGGGGTTAAGGTTTACTTTCAATTTTTAAAATCAAACCGTATGAGACAAGAGCTCAACCGACTAAAGCGCAGCTCTTAAATAGGAATTATTGAATGATAAATTTTTATTTAAGTCTATCTTCCATTAAAACCAATTTCTGGAAGAGACAAAATATAATTCACTTGTATAAATTATACAAGTATAACAATATTGTTTATACATCTTCTATTCTATTAAAAAAAAAAAAACCTTTTGATAAAATGTAAACATCAAAACTACTTTGTACTTAAATGCAATTCAATGAATCTTAAGTTTATCTCGTATGCGTTATGATCTACAAATGTGATATTAAATCTCCATATGTAATGTATTCTTGCGCAACGGATTTGACTGTAGGCAATTAACTGTTTTCCTGCAAAATGAAATTGTATTACTTTTAATTATATTTATTATTTCTATATATTTGCATTTTTCAATTATTCCTTTAAACTTGCCAATATTCATATTCATATTTCTTTATTAACCAATGTAACAGTTTTCCTCACACAATGGCAAGTCAATATTTACATTAGAATTTTAAAATTAATAAAATAAATAATAACAATAAGATTTAAATTATAAAATAAAAATAAAATTACAAATGAATTATAGTTAACATTATAAATTAGTTACTACATGCCAATATAATGGTAACTATACACCAATAATGATTACTTCAAGTTATAAATTTTTTATTGTCACACTTCTTACAGTTAAACGCAAATAAATAATAATGCTATAATTCAATATTGGCATTTAGGTATTCGGTCACGTTGTAAAAAGGATGTTCTTCAAAATATGTCTTTATTTTATTTTTAAATTCATTTCTCGGCAATTGCTTTGCTGTATTGGCTAATTTATTGTACAATAGAAACTATAAGAATGGTACCCCACTAGTATAGACTGTTCTTTTTCAATGAGTGCTAATAGAGTAGTAACCCAGTTTGCCGTGTAGGTCCCGGCATAGAATAAGCCACCCCTTCCTTACCCGTGAGTGTCGTAAGAGGCGACTAAGAAAACTTATAGTGGAGAGATGGTCAGCAGCGCCCCTCTTAAAACATCACCCAAAGCCAAATTGCAGTTGCCAATCTGCCTGTTAACCGTGGCAACTACTGGCAAAAGCTCCCTGCCGAGGTTTTCCCAAGAGACTACAGCATGGGGTTCTTCAAAAGGGGGGTAAAGAGGTTTCTTCAGGGTTGGTAACGCGCACGTAATACCTTTGGTATTACAGGCGTGTAACTGCATATTGCAATGGAATTGCTATCAATATACCCTATTTGATCGACTTCTACGGGATTCTTTCTGGAAACCATCGTAATGGATTTATTGTTGAAATTGTCACTATGGGCTAACTGACCTGCTAAATCTATCTTCATCTTTCACTGATGTCCCGTCAGTGCATACAGTTAGCGCAGCCGGGGTAACCATTCCATTATTATCCATTAAATAGAAAAAACAGATCGTTTGACCCCATATGCAAATATAAGATTCCATGTTCATCCTTCGAAAAAAGAACTACCACCATTCCTACACACAGTTTTCGTTGCGGAAAACATTCTCAAAATGCCTATATAACTACGCACAATTTTTCCATTAATCGCTTCCTCACAGTGATTTCCGATAAATACATCGACGACCCAGTATGTCGTGCGATAATCTCCGTCCTTACACGATGATAAAACATAATTGTACATTATCTTACAATCGATAAACTGGTGGTCTACCATGAAATGAAATTCCGAATTTTCGGGCACAATTTCGTGTTTTTGTTCCTACCGAAATCGACCCTGTAAATGGAGCTTAAAATTTTGTTTGTCATAAACCCTACCATAAAAGTTCAAAGAACCGATATTTTAGCATTTTTAATATTTTTAAATGGTACGTATCATGTAGTTTTAGCATAAAATTTTTGTTTCGTTCGGATCCGAAATTTCGGAAAACATTTCATGGTAGGCCCTCTGTTTATTGTTTATAAACGTTCGAATACATTACAATGAAAAAGTGCCAGTTGAGTAAAAGTTGCTAAGTATATACATATATATAATAAGCGCTATGCCTTGGAAAACATGTTCTGTGTTGTTAAACAGTGCGTCCGCTGGGAATCTCTATGCAGGTGATATAGTGACGGGATCCGTAATACTGGAGTTTGATAAGAAACGGAAAATTGAAAGTATATAGTTTTTTATATTTTTTTATGCAACTTAGCTTATTTTTATATTTAACTTTATGCAAACAAGCTGACGGCCCACCTGATGAAAAGTGGTAACCGTCGCCTATAGACATGAGCAATACCATTGGTATAATAGAACTGTTTCGCCCATGATACTCCCCATGTATTGCCATTCCTGAGGACTCCGGTATTATTCCTCTGTACCCAGTAAATTCACGCTATATTCCACCCTTCAAACCGAAACACAGCCATGCAAACACAACTGCTTCACGGTAGAAACACGAATGGGACAGAGGTGTTTAAGCAAACGACTTTTATACAAAGTCTCCCTCTGGGTTTTTTTTTTTCTGGTAGGTTTTATATATTTTTTATTTAAAACTATCTTTAACACATAACCTATTTTAGTTTGTTTTTAAGATTTTTTTGTGGAACATAATTATAAATTTTTTGGAATTCATACAAGACGACAGGTGTAAACGACAGTACAAGCTGTGGATATTATAGAATACACTATGACGCTATTCGTAAATACCTACCCTTCTTGCATCGCCATTTACGAGGTCTTATACCTAAGCATTTAATCAATGTCTCCCCTTCTTTAGTTTTTATATAATTTTTACTTTTTCAGACATTAGTTTCCAAGTATTTGGATTTAGCAAAGCGCAATGGACAAGACCAAAACCTACAATGCCATATATAAAAATATATTCAGAAAAGAGGAAGGTCCTCCATATTGAAATGGACGTGTTCGGTGCGACTTTTGGCAAGTGTTATATTATTACTAATATCATGAATGTGAAAATGAGTTTGTATGTTTGTTTGTTTTCTTTAATATTTTTTAGTACAGGGTATATCTTGCAGCTTAGTCTATGTGAATTGAAATAAAAATTAGCACGTTTGCCTGTATACTGCCGTCTATGCGTCATATTTCATTGTAATCCGTTCACCCATGGGGTTATAAATAAGAAAAGTCTTTGTCTTTGATAAGGGATGATTGTTAGTTACGGGGACCGTCAGCCCCGTTTCCAGCAGTATGTCAGGTCGACTGTCTCGCGTTCTTCGCACTGGATGCTATCGTGGTTAAATCTCGATGAGTTTATCATGATGGCCCAACTGAACTTCATCTATACTTATTACTCCTCACTGGTATGTCACTATGGGTGTTATTATCATCATCATGTCAGTCATTAACTATCCACTACTTTGGTTGTTAATAATGCGCACTACCAGTCTCATTGTTAGCAATATGCCCAAAAAGGTCAACCTCCACGTGGCCCCCCCTGGAAACAATCGTGCTGAATTTCAAGTGAATTCATTACGATGGGCTAATTGACTTGCTTTTTCATTCTCACCTATCATCTCTCACTGGTGCCCCACCAGTGTATACCGATAGCGCAGACAGGGTTACCATTTCATTATCATTCATAAAAAAAAAACTATCCACTACTGAAAATAGGGCTCTCCTTAGGGAAGTTTTTTAATAGTTTCCACGCTTGCAACCGTAGTTAGGCTTTAACCCTTCTTTGCATAACGGTGGAAATTTCCATCATAACATTGAATGCCCAAAAATTATATAAAAGAACAAGTTTACTTTAAGATGATCGTGTCTGGATACCTTTTTAATGTCCATTCCAGAAAAAAAAATATAGCTGTCAAATTTATTTTGTTAACCATTTTTCCTATAATTTTGAACATGAATTATATCACCTTGATTTATGTCACCAATAAAAAAAAATCATGCAAAGAAGGGTTAATGATGTTTTACGAGGGTCACTTCTGCCCATATTTCGACTATTAAATTCCCTTAGTCGCCTCTTACGACACACAACGCTATCGGTGTACTTACACCTTACAAATGGAGCGGATAGATTTACAATTTTATTTTAATTTTAAAGTACAATAGATCAAATGTGCATAAAGGACAAAAATTCTGAGAGAGATTAATATAAAATGCTATTAAAAATAATCCAAGAAGCGTTTAGCTTAACAGATTAAATTATTTTTTAAATTACTTCACCTGTATAATACCTAATTCCAGGAAAAATAATATCTCCGGACATTTACAATTTTCCATTTCACTTCGCTTTGCCTGAAGACTTGGCTGCGACATTCAAAAGTTTCATTGGAAAGACGTTTTATTATATTAAAATACAAGCCAATGGGAGATGCACATCTAAAGAAATTATACCGTTCGTCATCCAGAGAAAAGATAATTTAAATCGCATGGCAGAATTTTTGGTAGGTAAACATTTAGTAGCAATAAAAACTTTCGAAATAACCGTTTGTCTCAGTATAGTTATGTTATATGTGCTCAGAACCAGATATGTAGAGCCTGTTTATTTATATATTTGTTTTCTATATTATTTATGACATGATAAAACTTTGTAAAAGTGGCGAACTTAATTCCATATGGTGTTCTCAACAGCTGGCTATTGAGTAAAAACAAGTTTATTTTAAGGAAAGTATTCAATGTAAGTATAAATGTGGATGGGTATAAGGATAAAAGAAAATTTATAAAATGTGGATAGACTGTGTGAAAGATGCTATATGCATTCATTCCCACAATGAGAATGAATGCAGACATGACAGCGAATAGAGATAAATGGAAGATATTACGCTGAGTCTAAACTCCAAATAATTGGGAATAAGACAAGATAAGGACAGGAAAATAAAAATGATGATGGTAATGAAAGAATTTTTGGTAAATACTTAGACAGATAGGTACTTAATAGACAAGGAATGGTATCATTCCTCATCCTGCCTTTCTTTCCTAAGATATTCCTAGGTTAGTAAAAGGCTATGTAAAGGCATAGATAGATTAGCATAGCGTAAATCAGAATACAGGAGTATTAGAGAAGAAAAATAAAACTATACCAAACTGCCTAGTGCTAGCGTAGTAATAGCAAGCTCTTCTAATGCGAAAAGAGCAGTAATTATAAAAAACCTCTCTTACGTACTTAATTACTCTCTTCTGATAACTCTAGTAGAACAAGAAAGAATAAAACTCAAAAGTCTCTGAAAGAATGAAGAAAAAGCAAGCAATATATGTTTTATCAATATATGATTCATACGTAAGGATAAATCCTTTTTTTGTGATGGCAATATTGAAACAAGGTGTTATAAAATAAAGGTATTTTTTTAATTTATTTTTTTGCAGAAACCATTAACATACACTTTCGAGAAGACGTTTTGGAATTCAGGAGCGATTTCGTTGAGTTTTAAAACATTTATAGGATTTGGATCGAACCAGACTGTGCCTTTCGAAATTGTTTTTTATAATGAGAAAAAAGTTAAAATACGCGAAGTAAATATACTTCTGATACAAGTAAGCTAGTTCCAAGTTATTCCATCATTAGGTTAAAGTTGAGATAATTATCTGACACAACTACAGACAAATATATTATCTTTCACATGACACTATTCTTAGAAGGTACAATCAGGGTCGGCCTAGTGACCCCAGACAAGTTGTTATTGAGCCCCCCTCCCCAGTTCCTCCACTGAATAAGAAAATAAGTCATCATCCATTTCGATCTCAACTATATCAAGTGCGTTAACACCCATGCCGGATCTACCAGGCCCGCGCTTCTTTTACGTCTCATAATGTTTCTCGGCGCCCCCGGACGCCACCTGATCGTGTCACCTCCTAATGCCGAGAGGAGGAGGGATTATTAGTAATAGCGAGTAGTGACTTGCAATTTACTCTATCAGATCGACATCCATGCGGTTCCCCCTGGAAATCATCATGGTTTATTCTTAATGAATTCGTTACGATGGGACAACTGACTGGACTTCATCCTCCTCTGTCATTCCTCGCTGGTTCTTGCCAGCGTATACCTCAGACAAGAAAATCATTCCATTTTTATTTTATCACACCTAAGGTTGCAACTAAAAAATGTGTCGAATATAGAATACTATCAGATATTTCATCTATGATTTTATGACAGTAGCGTTCTCTGAGTGTGTTAAGACTTTCCAGGCTGCAGCTACTGCTTTTAAAGGTGACAACATATTAAACATACTTAAATATAATTTAACATAAAAATTTCAGAAACGTCACTATAGCATAAAAGAAGCATTCGCCGATGAAGAGAAAGTAGTATGTAAGACTGAATATAAAACGTTGTTGAGTAAAAAACACGAGAAAATCAAATTGAGTATGGACGTCCCTTGTTTAACACCTTCCAGTATCAAAACGATGGATCACGTTATAAATATTTCATACGTTTTGAGAGTAAGTAGTATTTATATGAAGGTTCCACTATAACATAGTATAAGTAATAGATTTTTCAAACATCACCAAAATCTAAACTGCGGTTGTCAATCCGCCTGTTAAGCGTGGCAACTATTAGCTAAACTCCCCAGTAGGAGGAAACCTATATTCAGCAGTGAATTGTTAACGGCTGATGATGATGAACTTACCTGGGTGATGAAACCGCATTTACTCTCATTTAGCTATATATGTTTCATATGATATTTTAAATATTAGTTAAAAAATATTAAATATTTATTTACAGGTGGAGGTAGTATTTTTATTTCATTTTACATGGTCCGAGGAGGTACCTGTAACACTCGCGAGTGTACCTGTGAATCATTATGATTTTGACACATAAATAAATAAATAAAAAAACTGAGTAATTTTTTTTAATGCACATTTTTTCCATACATCTCTTAAAACATCTCTAAGAGCCTGACTGCGGTTGCCAACCCGCCTACCAAGCATGGCAACTACTGGCAAAACTTCCCTTATGGGGAAAGCTTATGTTCAGCAGTGGACACTTAACGGCTGAAGTAATAATAATAATTTTCTCTGTATGAAAATGGAGTTAGAGCACATGTATGGTGAGTATAAGTCATCACTACTTTTCATATCCAGAATGTCATAATGAGAGACGATTAAAATACAGAGCACACTACAAGAGACAGAAGCGTCATCTTTATTTTTTAAAACAATTAAGTGAACTTCTAATAAGTTCACTTTTATAGAAGTAACCTATACCCCGCAGTGTCTGCTAATGGATTATGAAGGTAAAATATAAATGTAAACAGGAGTTAGTTATGCAAATAACAGTCACATTATTTCAGAGAGAGACTGTACAAATGTCGATTTCTTGGGCACCTCTGTCCCATTCGTGTTTCAACCGTGAAACAGTTGTGTTTGCATGGCTGTGTTTCGGTTTGAAGGGTGAGATATGGCGTGAATTTACAGGGTACAGAGGAATAACACCTGAGTCCTCAGGAATGGCAACGCATGGGGGATATCATGGGCGAAACAGTATACTCTGTTATGTGCATGATACTGCTCATGTCTATAGGCAACGGTTACCACTTTCCATCAGGTGGGTCTGTTTGTTTGCCATTCTAAGTTGTATAAAAAAATATCCTGAGATACCTATAAGAGATGTTTTTTTTTTAATGGATGACTATGGAATGGTAACTCCACCTGCGCTAATAATATACGCTGGCTGAACAATAGTGAATGATGATATTTGATATGGAAAGGCAGGTCAGTTAGTCCATCGTGGTGAATATAACAGGAATTCAGCACGATGGCTGCCAGGGGCGAGGTCTACGTGGAGTTCAATAGGACAGAAAATATTGCTAGCAATGAGAATATATATTTGAATAACTAGCACCAATTATAGTACAGAATTAGGTATTAGGAAACCTAATATCATAAAGTGGATTGTTAGTAATGGAGTCTAACTGACCTATTACAAAAATCGTGGTTAATTCTAGTGGAACTCGTCACGGTGGGTTAACTGACCTGCTTTCATCGTCACCTATCATCCCTCTCTAGTGCCCCGCCAGCATATACCGTTAGAGCAGGCGGGAGTACTATTCCATTATCACCTATTAAAAAAAAGTCATCAAGTGAGGTGAAAGGGATTAAAACAAGATCTGCCGCTGCACAGTTCCAAACAGGAAATATACCTACTGCCATAAGACTGTTTATAAGGGGGGGGGGGAGGGGAGTGATTGTTAGTAATGAGGTTTAATAGACCCTTTTTTTATGGGTGAAAATGGTATGGTAACCCCGCCTGCGCTAACGGGATACGCTGGCGTAGCACCAGTGAAGCGTGATAGATAAGAATGAAAATAGGCCAGTTAGGCCATCATGATGAATTCATTAGGAATTAACCATGGTAGTTTCCAGAGGGAACCGCGAGGAGGTTGACCTGGTTGGGTATATTGCTAGCAATGGGATTCTCAGTCTCCAATACTAACAATCCTTTTCCCCCCTAATAGACCCATTGCTAGCAATATCGTCATAGTCGTGAAATACTAACGGATCTTTATATGTAATATTTGTCAGATCCGTCAGTATTCTATGACTATGACGATATATTCGCTTAGGTCGACTTTCACGCGGTTCCCGTTATCATGGTTAATTCTTGTTGAATTCATCATGTTGGGCCAACTCACTTGCATACATTCTCATCTATCATCTTCCGCTGGTACCCCGTCAGTATATATTGATAGAGTAGGCGTGTTAACCATTCCATTTTCATCCATTAAAAAAAACGTTTTATAAAATTTATCTACTGTTGAGCACAATCATAACGGTCGTTTGGATATCGACAGTTGTATTTTTATACTTTAAATCCTAGAGTCCTAAACCGTAAAATAACATGGAATTTTTTTTTATTGACTAATATTTAGTTTATGACATAGATTAAAGAGAAGTAATGGTTATAAAAATAATAATTTTAAAAAGCATTGAAATTTTATTTTTTAATTATATGACCAGAAACATTATTTATTATATAAAAATATGGAAGAAAATGATTACAGTTTAAAAAAAAATAATGTCAATCATTTATTTTATATCTAGCAACACAGAATATCAAATTGTCGCCATCTATCGGTACCGTTCTCAAATAATAGTCTTCAGTTTTATTACATTTTTATGTTTCATTATCAATTATAAATATTAGTGTTAAATAAAATACTTTATAGCATAAAATAAAAAATATTACAAATTATTTATGTGCTTCTAAACTTTTATTAATGCGAATTCAATTGTTATTATATTTAAGTTGTTTAGCGACTATATCTTCTTTCCCCTACTTTTTTTTTGAGAAAGCGGAAATGGTTGTTCGGCCATAATCGTTCGTGTGGGTCTGTGCTTGTGTGGTTTAGGTTTCTTACCGGTGCCAATAATTATTTTTAATTAGTAGTAAGTTATGCGTATGAATCCAGACATGGACGATGATGAGAAGGGGTGAGTGTGTTGTAATAAATTTTCGGAAAGCTTTTCGTTTTTCGTGATTCGTCAACTATAATAGGTCAAACTGCATGTTCGCTTGGTGTGTCGCATTTCACGACTAGCCAGCAAGGCTTGTTAGGTATCAAAACTCATTAGGACTTCCAGCCTTAGAATGTGCAATTTTCAATGATTTTGGTTAGGTGACATGGTGTATGCCGTTTTTGGCAAAGTCCGCGTATGTTCAATTAGCCTCTTACCTTACCGGCTAGCGGCCACCGACCCCAAGCCTCGCCGTGTAACTTGCGTAGCGATCATGGCAGCTATTACTTTCCCATGATGATTGCACTATCATCATTTTTTATTTTGTATTTTAACATTTTTAGGAACATTTGCAAACAAGTTTATATAACTGTGTGTAGAAAACCGAAATTGTGATGTGTAAACGTCGCAATATGTTAAATTAACCTGTGTGGGTTTAATCATAGCTTTCTCTTATCGTTAAATTTGAGTAACGGCAATGTAACTGGCATATTTTCCGCGAACCATTAAAATTTGTTGAACATTTCCTAATGAGGTTACTAGAGCGATGGTCGAAGTGCCGCGTAGCTCGATCTCATTTCTGAGACGCGGCCGAAACGTGCTGATTCATTTGCATATGGTTGCCTAGGTGTTTAAAACGCATTTTTTGGAATACATAACCTCGCCAATTTCATTGTGTACTTATGCCCATAGTACTTGTAGTCGCGTGGTAATAACGTAAACATGATGATTTCGGAACGCGTACGCATCCCGACTTTACTGTATCGTAGTAATTTATCTTTTCCTTGAATGCGTTATCAATACCCTAATTTGTTGTAACTAACTCTGATTTATAAATTACTTAGCCCCAGTTACAAATTTACCTATCTATAACAGAGGTTTTAATAGAGGTTAAAATTACCACACTACATTAATAAGGTTCATATCAGTGTGGCAAAGGTGAGATTTGCAAAATTGTAACTTGAACAAAGCTGGTTCAAAGTGAATGTCACTTTCACCAATCCAGCAAATGTGCTTAATAATCATTGAAATGATTCACAATCATAACTAGGTATTTTCTTTTTATATTATTTACACAAATGTTCTAGATAGTTATCATTTTAATGCATTCTAATAGTGATAGTATGATGTCTCAAACGAGTAGCTTAATGAGAAATAAACAGTTTATTAATGGCATACATATGTATGATTCATTTTAAGTAATGTACCCAATATTAAAATAAATCAAATATCCTTTATTAAGACAAACAAGCTATAGATATAAAAAAATGTCATCTTTATTAATTAATAATAATAATAAAGTACCCAATATTAGTAAATTCTAATTAATAAATTCTAATAATTGCATACAGTCTTTATCTGTGCATGTCTTTGAAATGTATTTATTTAATGATACAATTATTTGATGATAAAATACAACCAGAGGGAGTCTGTGTACAAAAGTCGATTGCTTGGATATCTCTGTTCCATTCGTATCTCAACTGTGAAGCAGTTGTGTTTGCATGGCTGTGTTTCGTTTTGAAGGGTGGAATATGGTGTGAATTTACTGGGTACAGAGGAATAACACCTGAGTCCTCAGAATGGCAACACATGGGGGGTATCATGAGTGAACCAGTATACTCTGTTATGTCCATGGTACTGCTCATGTCTATAGGTGATGGTTACTACTTTCCATCAGGTGGGCCGTCAGCTTGTTTGCTATTCTAAGTTGTATAAAAAAAAATTCACTTAATATTTTATTATTTTCTATATATCTACTAATATTAGAAGTAGAAAAATATGCCTATATAAATACTTAAGTTTTAGGTAATGATGTGACAAAGATTATTTGTATGAATATTTATTTATATCGGGCAACTAGGGCATGGTAACATGATACCTACAGTAATGCAACAAAGTATATTCACATATTGCAATAATTCAAATAACTACAAAGTGATGTCATCTTTACTTTTCTTTCTCAGGTGTATTTGCCCATATCAGTGTAGCTTTCTATTTGAATATAAATGCTTTTGTATTTTTATCTTAAAGTGACAAAATGCTAGTAGTTAAAATGTATTGTAGGTTTAAATTATTATAAATAAGAGTTAGTTCTATATTAACATATGTAGAAGCACGTTTAGAAACGGTATTTACTCAGATATATTTCTGTAAATGGAAAATACACTCTAATTCGATTAAATAGATATTACATGTATTTATAGTAAGTTTTAATCCTATTAATAGCTTCCTATCAGAATAGTAGACATTATTCTGTGAAAAATCAAACAATTATGATACATTTTATGAATTAATTTCATTCAATTTTAGTAATTTTCAATCTTCATTTATTTTGGAAATGTTAATTTTTATTTAAAATTACCTTATATAAATACTAATATTATATTTATTATGATTAAAAACTTTCTCTGTTGTATTTTGTATTGAACCAAAACTTTGATATAAAAAAAATAATAGGTACATTAACAGACTACAAAGTATCACTCATATTATCATATCATAGCATTGCACCGGTGAACATTTTTAACATTTCCCTTCACTGATCTGCTCCTATTGATTGTAGCGTGATGAAAAGTATACTATAGCCTGCCCAGAAGTATGAAGAATAATTGTACCAAGTTTCGTTAAAATTAATCAAGTAGTTTTTGTTTCTATAACGAACATACAGACAGACAGATAAAAATTTTACTGATTGCATTTTTGACATCAGTATCGATCACTAATCACCGCCTGATAGTTATTTTGGAAATATATTTCATGTACAGAATTGACCTCTCTACAGATTTATTATAAGTATAGATTTACGTGTAGGTACCATGTAACATTTAAAAATCTGGTTTTTGTCATGTACTAATTTAATATTTGAACATTTTTCTGTAATGGTACCTACATTAGTACTAATGACTAGCCAACATTCCATCTATGAAATATCACAAATATGGTTATGTAGTCAATGATTATATATAGTTTTAAATTCAATTTAAAATGTAGGCCACTTGACAGACATTTACCAATATTATTGCTGTCTCTGTCAAGTATAACTTTCAAAAATTTATATTTTTATCATTCATTATCTAATCATTATTTTTTTATCTTTTTATTACTTTGAAATTACTAAGAGTAATAATAATAGACCTTGCATCGAAACTCTTGCATCAGTTAAATAATAATTCTTTTATAATACATTTTATACAACTTAGAATGAGAAATAAGCTGATGGAATATGCTAACATAAAGCTCTTGTTACCCCTCATATGTTGCCATTCCTAAGGAGTACATTTTTATGATTCTAAATCCTGAAATTTCACCACCCTTTCTGTAATTTCATCCCACTTTTTAAACCATAACAAATCAAGCAAGTACAGCTGCTTCATACGCAAATGTGAATGGGACAGAGGTACCCATGCAGACGATGTGTATATTGTTCCCTTCTGGTGAATGACAGCCCTGTTGCATCCTTACACTGCCATAACCGTTTATCATCAGGCTATTATAGGGCTATAATAATCTATTTACAATTCTGTTCTACATTGCTTCATTCTTTATGTAAAAAAATATTACAAATCTTACTAAATCTTGTAACAGTTGCTTCTTTGTATGTTCCAAGTAGGTAATTTGACGTTATCATTTTTATCACTGTAGGTAAATAGTAACGATGGTTGTCTTGCAACTGTGTAACTCAAACTCAATACATATATGCTTGCTATAAAATATTAAATAGGTAATACAAATAATGTACAAAAAAAAATTAAAAGTGATATGCAGGTATTAGGAACATGTTAAGTATGAATGTGGATGATTATAAGGGTAGTGGTAGACCTACAAAGATATGAATGTACTGTGTGAAAGATGATATGGCCAGAATGGGAGTGAATGTGGAAATGAATGTTAAGAGAAAAGAATGGAAAAGAAAAAAAATAATTGAAATAATCCCATTATTGTTTGGGGTCAGTGATGTACTAAAAAATACAACTACTTTATTGTTATTTAAATAAATGTTATTATATGATGTTCTTGTCAAATGAATTAATGAAAATGTATTTCAGTAATACACAACATACATTAACAACTTAATATAACATAGTAAATTGTTTACAAATATAGCAAAGGCTAGTTGAATTTTGGTCAGGAAATGAATTTTTTTTTTGTTGTAATTAGTACCTATTTCTTAAAATAGTCCATAGGCTTCAATAACTTTCACCATCGTACCAGCTGTATTGTACTTAGATATTACTTGTTTGACATTTTTTTTTTCATGGAACATATAATGGCAAACAAGCTAATTAATTATATTATTTATATACCTACATATAGACATGAATAGACTGGACCTTGTAGAATATATTGTGATGTTCATGATACCTTTCATGCATCACTATTCTTTTTTTCATTGTAGTAATTTTTTTTATACCACAAAGATGCCAAATATGCATACAGCCTGTCTGATGGTAAATGGTTACATAGTCTATGGACAAAGTGGACTCCATTTTCAACCGACTTAAAAAAAAGGATCTTCTAAATTTTATTGTTTTTTTTAATGCTTCTTACTTCATAACTATCAGTTATAAACCGATTTGGAAAATTCTTCATTTATCTGAAAGGATATACTTACAGATTGGTCTTATAGAAATTTTTTCTCAAAATCGGTTCACTAGTTTAGTTTTTAAATGATATAAAATAACTGGTTTTTTTTTTGTGGGACAATATCCAGAGTTAACCCGCTCATTTGGGCCCTTTTCATTGTATTATAAAAATAGGTTTTGTCATTTCTATTCCTTTACAAGTATTATTATTGGCGCAGAAAACTGTTTGTTGGTGGCTTATCATGGGAAACGTCCCAGGAGAACTTGCAGCGGTACTTCTCCCGCTATGGGGACGTCATCGATTGTGTCGTGATGAAGAACAGCGAATCGGGCCGCTCCAGGGGCTTTGGTTTCGTCACCTTCGCCGAACCGTCGCTGGTGAATGTGGTTCTCCAGAATGGGCCACACCAGCTCGATGGCAGGTATGTGGAACAATTAAAAAATTTATTTAATAAAATAAAAATACAAAAATAATCATCAATATCGACTAGTTTTAACCATTTGGAATCCAAACTGTGAATAATAATAATAGATTCCAAACAGCTATCTAATAATTTGCATGAAGATAGACATCTTCATTTATCTTCTGTTTAGAGGTGAAACACGTGTCGCAAAACGTGCGTGAATAAAATGGCAGTGGGCGCTGGATGCCAAATATGGAAAGTTCTGGAACATCTGATAGTAATAGTGGTGATCAGTCTTCTAGTGTTGGCAGTCGCACACATACTAATGGTAGAGGAATGAAGTAAAATAATCCTAATCAAATTATCAAAATACAGTCTAAAACTGGAAAAAAGAAATTTGGAACAGTTTTATTTTTTAATGTTAGCATCTACTAAGATTTGGAAAAATTTCTACTAAAAAATACGATGTCATGCTTTCGAAACCGCGAGTAACACCTAGTATACCATAAAGTCATACAGGAAAGCTCGCGAGGAAAAGCTAGTAAGTAAAAGAAGGTTTATTTTAATTACTTTGAGGGACACTTTGTATAAAAGTTGTTTGCTTGGGTACCTCTGTCCCATTCGTGTTTTAACCGTAAAGCAGTTGTGTTTGCATGACTGTGTTTCGGTTTGAAGCGTGGAATATAGCGTGAATTTACAAGGTACAGAGGAATAACATCTGAGTCCTCAGAAATGGCAACACATGGGGGGTATCATGGACGTAACAGTATACTCTGTTATGTCCATGGTACTGTTCATGTCTATATGCGACGGTTACCACTTTCCATCAGGTGGGACGTCAGCTTGTTTGCCATTCTGAGTTGTATAAAAAAATACCTACTGTCCATTAATTAATGTCTCGAAAAAGAATTTGATCCAAGTTGTAAAACTTGCATTTAAAAACATTTATTTTCATAAAACTAGGTCATATTTGTCCGTATTTATACAATTTATTTAACGAGTCGTCATATTGTTACGACTGACATTGCAATTTGTTGCGTTTCAGTCACGTTTTGTTATCTTGTAGATTTTTGTTTGCCTCTTTGTATGCGTGGATTTTAGAAATAGGAAAACCAATGAATATACCATTTTTAGATGGAGTATGAAGATAAAACATATATCAAATTTTAAGTTTGATTTTAGGATTAAAACTAAAAACGGCATTCAATTTAGTGCATGAGTTTTTGCGTGATGCCGGAACGAAACAGACGGACAACAACTACAATAAATTATTATTTTGTTTTTATATTTTTTAAATATCTTCCATGTGCAAACGTCGTCTAGTTACATTTTTAATATATTACTCCACTTCCTAGACAAGTGGTAAAGGAATTCGTCGATATTCACGTTGTCATTGGTGTTTTTTTTTTAATGGATGATAATGGAATGGTAACCCTGTCCGCGCTATTGGTATACACCGGCGGCTTACCAGTGAGGGATGATATGTGAAAATGAGAGCCAGGTCAGTTAGCCCATCGTGATAAATACATTTGGAATTCAGCACGATGGTTTCCTGGGGGAACCGCGTGGAGGTCGACCTATCAGGGTATATTACCAGCAATGTGACTGATAGTCCTCATTACTAACAACCCCCCTCCCCTTGTCGTTGATGTTAGAACAAATTACAGAGACAGATGAAGGGAACATTAGGTGTCATGTCGTATAGGTAGCTCAAAGATATGGCCTGGAATAGAGTTGGTTGAAAGAAAATGCATGTATTAAGTCTTAAATGAAAAGTAATAAAAACAATTACATAAATCAACTATTAAATATTGCAATTATTAATATTTTGATTTTTAAATTTCCAAATAATTCTTTGCCTTTTTTTTTTGTATAATTAAATTTATGATTCACTATAAAAGTGCTTTTTAATTGATTATTTAGAAAAACTGTTTTTTTTTATTTATGCAATTTAGTGAACAGAAGTTGTATTATTATTCTCTAAGCTTCCCGATATAAATAAATAAATATTGCGGATATTACCAGTTTATAGTAAGAGCACTTAACTTTATCATATCTCCGAAGTTATTGATACAAAGTGACGGATCAAATTTTGTATTATTGATTATGCTGTAATACTATCTTGATTTAATATAAACTTCACAAGGAAATTGTGAAACAAACTAATGTTTAAAGCATATAATATATACTGAGTAATATCCAAGCCATCATAACTTTTTAAGAGGTTTTTTAATGGCTGTTGATCTATAATGGTAACCCATTGGTGCTTCGCCAGCGAGGGATGATAGGTGAAGATGAATGCAGGCTAGTTAGCTAATTGTGATTGTAAATCCATCAAAAATTAACCACGATGGTTTCTAATGGGACCGCGCGGAGGTCGATCTGACAGGATATATTGCTAGCAATTGGGCTATTTTTAGGGAGCGTCCTAATAATGAAACAATTTTCTTGTTAAACAAAACCTACGGATCTTAGTGCAGTATAAATATGTACACACCTTCATCTCCTCGCCATCACATTAAGTGTGAAGTTTCTTCCAAATTGTTGCTGGTTTCGCTCATCATGACTTATAAAAATGTTCAACTTCATTGGCCTTTGAAAGGATACAATTGGTTTTCTGTTTCACCCTGCATAATATTCTCGTGTATAACGTAAAAGTTTGTTGCATTTAAAAATATCTGATTTATGACATCTCATTTTATGTGGTCCAATCCTTATGGAATACTTATCTATTTTCAAAGGAGAGTTAAGATATCGACAGATTTTTCTGGACTATGTTGTTCGCAGTTTGGGTTCCGAACCGCTAACACTAGGCTCCGAGTAGCCATCTAATTGAAGACGTCTCGTTTAGATTTAAAAACACGTGTCACAAAACGTGCGTGAATAAACTGGCAGTCGGAGATTGATGACTAATATGGAAGGTTGTGGAACTTGTGGTAGTGATAGTGGTGGTCAATTTTCGAGTGTTGGCAGTCACACACATACTTACTAATTGTAGCAGAATTAAACAAAATAATTCTAATCAAATTACTAGTCCGATAGATTCTTTATTGATATGACATTAAGAACTAGAAACAATCTTTTTGATAAGTTCCATGTAATAATAATAATAAACTCTTTATTGCGCACAGTAGAGATGTATACAAGGAGTATTTATACAGAATGTGCATATACAAAAGGCGGTCTTATCGCTAAAAGCAATCTCTTACAGACAACCTGGCATAAAGAATGGATAAGTACAGAGAGAAAGGTAGATGGCACAAGTCAGACACAGTAAATACATAAAAGGAATCAAACAAAATGCAAAATATTCTAAATATAAAAATTAGATTACAATACATAAACATACATATATAATATAAATAATAATACATAAACATAAATATACTAAATAGATCAAGATAAATCACACATAGTAAACGTCAAAGCAAATTAGAGATTATAGGTAATGAGATTTTACCTGCCTCTGAACGAGGCAAGAGATTGCGCTGATCTAATAGAAAGAGGTAAGGAGTTCTAGAGACAGATAGCTTGGATAGTGAAAGAATAGGAATAGAATTTAGAAGAATGAATAGGAGTTACTAAACGAAGGGATCTCGCACTGCGCAATGTACGACCCCGAGTTGTTGTAGTTGAAATTTAAGGATTAATATGTGTTGTAAATTTTGACTGCTTGTTTTTTGTCTGTACTCTACGAGAATGTAAAATTATAAATCTGTTAATAAAAAAAAAAAAAAAAACTGCACTAAAATAATCCTAATACTTGAAATATACTAGATGTGTCTTGCAACGTCCTTCGTCGCAAAATTACCCTATGTTTTATCTTGTTATTCTATTGATTGTAAAAAAAAGACATCAAAAGCTATTATGACAGGCCCCTTACAAGACTAGACAGAGAGAATTGAAGGCTAAAAATTGTATAGTGCTGTATGTTTACATACATATTTCGTTTCATCCAATTACTGAAATAAATTTACAAAAAATCGTATTGATAATAAAATAAAATATTAACTTATTTTTATACAAGTAACCTTAATTTGTTTCAAACTTGAGTTCACAAATTAAAAAAAAATTGCCAAACAACCTCTTCCATTTTGGAGTCTTTTAAAAATTAATCCAATTTGTCATTACAAATTTGTCTCCAGAACTATTGACCCGAAGCCGTGCAATCCTCGCACGCTGCAGAAGCCTAAGCGTGGAGGAGGATATCCAAAGGTGTTCCTCGGTGGACTACCATCTAATATTACCGAGACCGACCTTAGGGTGTTCTTTGGAAGATATGGCAAGGTCATGGAGGTTGTCATCATGTACGACCAAGAGAAGAAGAAATCCAGGGGTGAGTAGTTGTTACATTGTTTCTTTTTACTTTACATTCATCTCTGAGTGGTTGAGTATGAGAAATTCAAATTTTTTTGTGTTCCATTATAGGTTAAAATCTTGTTAATTATGAGGACGACAACTGGAGGATTCGAAAAGAAACGAGATTTTAAATAAACAAATTTAATTCTATTAATAAAAGTTACAATATAAAATTCCTAAATCTAATTATAATTAGAATCACTGCCCATGAAATGAGATTTATTCTGTTTTTTTTATTCATAACTGTAGTTTCTTAACTAATATTAATATTACAGTTTTATAGTGTATATTAAGTGTGAACCAGGAGTGCGTTTTCAAGTCGTCATGTAGACCAGCCTCGTGCTGTAGCGTCAGCGATTACCTAGTTAGGCATTTACGTCATTTACACGAGTTTTGGATGCGAAGCGGCGTCAGCGGTCTCGATTGTGGCTCGCTATGTAACTCGTTGCTAATTTCTGCAGGTATTAAATGTATATGCAGGTGGTTCCGGACTGTTCTTTATGGCAGTCTATAAAAAAATAAACAAATAGATATAAAGTTACACGAAATGTCTATAAAAAAGAATTTTCTTATTCCTATTACTGATTTAAATGTCTTAATCTGTGATACAGTTAAAGTACAAGTCATAGGTGGAAACAAAAAGATTTCGTTGAAACTGTTTTAAAATGCAGCAATTAACACTGACATGCCAATTAATCAAGTATCTATATAAATATTATGTTCTTATAGAAAATTCATAAAAACACAATGTATATCAAATTAGGAAAAGTTTTTTAAATAAACCGAGAAAAAATGTGGTCCTTTTTTTTATAACATAAAGTACTTGCCAGTACAGCTTATTTGATGGTAAACGGCCACTGTAGTCTATGGATGCCTGCAACACTAGGAATGTCATGTGCGCGTTCACAAGCCTAAAGAAACTTTAAAATACCCTTTTTGAAGAACCGTAGTCTAGAAGTAGTAGAAGTCTAGTAGTAGTAGAATACTGTAGGCTTTAGGGAAAACCTCGACAGGGAACTCATTCCGCAGCCTGAGCTTTCGCGGGAGAAAACTTCTCTCAAAGCGAACTGTACGCGACCATTTAGATTTAAACGTGTAAGGAATTCCCTATCGATAGCGAGTGTTGTGATGATAAAAAGTGGTTGTGGGGATCATTTCAAAAAATTCCTTTAAACACAATCCGTTATATAAGCGATAGTAGACACACAAAGGGACGAGTCTTTAGACTCGAGGGTTGGATATATTCCTTTAACAATAGTCGTAAAATTGCTTATTTTAATTTTAAATTGTTCATTATTAATATTTGTTTTATTGAAAGTGTTAACGCTGTATTAGTCTTTCAATTGTAGGTAATGTGTAATTAGCTACATTCTTTCATACGTAAATATTCAAATTGATACCACATGTGAAATACTTAAATGTTTGATATTTGAAATTAAAATAATAGAGTCAACTCTGAATCACCATTTTCTAATTCTAAAATTTTAATTTTAATATTACAGCACAGTCATTATTTTATGCACCAGTATAAACGGAATATTTAGTAGAATTGCCTTGTCGAACTGTTTTACATGTAATTCTCAACGGTCCATACCATTATACAAATAATTGATAAATTATCAAATTATTTTTAATTTTAGTTGTCAGTTTAGGGAATGATACCTCAAGAATCGACCCCGTTATATTTCTATTGATATAATATGATCCAGAGTTACAGATATGGTCGTGTCGATGACTCGGGTCATCGACCTTGATGACGTGTGTGTCTTATTGCTGTTAAATCGCGTGTCAATATTTCGATGGATTAGTTCTCGATTTCCAAATTGGATTGCTGGTCGTAATCATGATGATTGTGATGTAATGAAGTCTTATGCGGTTAGAATTCGTTAGCGCAATCGAGTCGCCGACTCAGAAGTTCTCAAACTCAATTATATTTCATTTAAATTAGTCATAACAATATTACATCATGTCGAATATTTTTTTATAAGTTATAAAAAGACAAAATAACTTTATAGTACACAGAAAAAGTATGAAATAAAAAATTAAAAAAAAAATACAAAATATGTTCAATTGTAAGAAGTTATAAATGATCTTACCTGTATGTGTCCTGGATTTGAATATTAAATAAAACGCTACAGGTTTGATGAAGAAACAGTATGACGATAAAAAATACATGAAGATTCAAGATTATTTATTTGTAAAACATGCGTATAAATACATGCAGATGTTGACAATATAATAACGTTCGACATGTTTAGCCTGTACGGCATACAAACATATGTAGTTACACAGATAGTTCACGTTATACATCAAGTCCATTTTATACCATTACTTATTTACTTGAAAAACTAATTAAATTTATATTTTAAGACTACAGTTGTTTATCATATCGGTATATCTATTTACATATGTATATTGATATTACCAGATATTAGATATTATAATATAGATATTACTATAGAGAATCTAACAGTTGTCAAATTGTATTAGAATGACATTAATGTTACTCAGCAACCTATATAACGTACCTTTCCGCTTTTTCTCGTTACATCACTACCAACATCTCATAACATAGACATACGAACTACATTGACACCATATAAAAACTATTTCTCGTAAGAAAACCTCATTAAAATAAATCGGGTGGAACAATTTAGTTATTATTAATTTCTAATGAATATTATATATTATAATATATTATAGTTATATACCAACATGCAGAAAACACAAATAGTCATGTAGTGTCTTAACTTTGTTTTAGGTTTTGGCTTCTTGTCTTTCGAAGACGAGATCTCCGTAGAGCGTGTGACCCAGGAGCATTTCATTAACCTCAATGGAAAACAGGTAAATGAATTATAATTTCCATATTAAAAAGTTTTATATTGCTTCACTTTTTATGTCCCTAAAATTGATTTTAGACGTTTTATTTTAAATAATAAATATCGCGAGTCGTGTTATTATTTTAAAATTAAATGTGATATATAAATAATTTGCTCTAACTGCTTATTTTATATTATGCGTATATTTATAAATTGCCCAAAAAAAACCAGTAAATTTATTTATAGACTTTTCATTGTTTTAGGAACATGAGTTCTCTTGTAATCGTAACATAATCTATTTTAGAATATTAAAGCGTAGGGTTTTAATTAACAAATTATAAATTTTTTTCTGGAATAATTAATACTATATTGACAGATTATGTCTGGTAACACTATTCATGATTAAAGGAAATGAGTTACCCTATGGGTGCCTAAGTTTATAATATGTATTAAAGAATGCTAGTATTTATCTTAGAAAAAGATATGTAATATAGGCCACATCCAGGCAGTGCTCTCGGCGTAGTGCCGTTGGTACGTTCAGATGTTTGTGGTAGATAAAAAGCAAGTTAGCATATACTTTTTGATCTTTGTGACAAAAAGCTTACAATACTTGCAACAAATTAATTCTAAATGTAAAATTGTATGCTAATATTATATATTTTCAAGTTTGGGAAAGGGTAGCCAAATATATAATGAAGGTTATAATTCAAGTTTGCTATATTTTGGTTTTATCCAATGCAGTTAATGAGATTTTTAATGAGATAACATGAATTGTATATTGACTGAGCAAGAGATACTTCTCTTCTTTCTCTTTTTTAAATCTCCTCGCTATTAGTTATTTATATGTGAATATCTGTTTATATTGGTCTTCGTTTTTTCTGTGTATATAATATGAATTAAATGTATTTATGAATAAAAGAAATTTCTATTAGTTATCCAATAATCGTTTTTGTCAGTTAGTTTTGGATAGATGGCACTGTACGTAAGGAAATTTATATTAAATCTTAATGTAAAACGTCAGGTGGAGATCAAACGCGCCGAGCCTCGCGATGGATCCGGCAAACTGGGCGCTGGAGGCGGCGGCATGGGCGGTGGTGGTATGAGCGCGCCCGGCGACGCGCCGCAGGCCGGCCAGTGGGGCCCGCCCGCCGCGCCCATCAACATGATCCAGGGCCACAACGGCCAGATGGGCGGCCCGCCCATTAACATGCCGATGGCCGGTCCTAACATCATGCAAGGGTTAGTGTCTGTTCGCTTAGTGTATTATTTTTATCTATTTTTCCGAACTGTATTGTAGGTTATTTCTTATTTTAAACGTAATTAGCGGTACTAAGTCTTTAATATAGATTTCTTCATAATTTATGGGTTATCTAGCTCCAAGGATCATAAAGTCCTTCGAGCCGGATTGTAGTTAGCCATTAAACTATATATTATAATTGAGACAAAACAAACTTTTGTATATAGTGAAATGTACCTCTTTACGCTTAATATGAACGCTGGCGGGGTTTTAGACAGCGATGATAGGTGAAGATGAAGTAGAGTAAGTTGCGCTTTCATATATGGGTAGAGTATATCATACATGGTGAATTCACCAGCAATCATAATAGTTTTCAACATTAGATTAACGTGTTGTCACAAGGCAGTCATGGTTTTTTATAGGATAATAAAGGAATGGTAACCCCACTTGTGCTGTGTACCCTGCCAATGAGGGGTGATAGGTGAGGATAGAAGTTGGTCAGTTAAGCTGATCGTAATAAATACCACAAGAATCAACCACGATACTTTTTAGAAGGAACCACTTGGAGGTCGACCTGGTATGATATATTGTTAGTAATGGAGCTGTTAAAAATCCCCATTACTAACAATCCCTTTCCCCCCACGCAGTTGTGTTGTAATAGAGAGTATAGCAGCGCACATCGGTCCGTAGGTACCAAGGGTGGGGCACGTCCCCAGGGCAGACGTCGTACGCGGGGTACGGCGCGGCGGGCGCGGGCGCGGGCCCCGGCAACTACCAGGGCTGGGGCGCGCCGCCCGCGCCGCAGGCGCCGCCGCACGCGCCCGCCTGGCCCGCCACCAACAACTACACGCAGCAGCCGCCCGCGCAGGGCTACGGCAGCTACGGTGACTATGCACTCTCCGCCTTGCCTCCTCCTCCTCCTCCCCCTGCGCACGCACGCTCACACGCACACACGCACACGCACACACGCACACGCACGCGCACGCATACACGCAAGCCGCGACTCGATTCTCGTACACACTATTTGAATATAGTCGAATTTTAGTTGTTTAATGAAGTACGGGGAGTATTGTTTATATTATGTGACTTGTCAAATAATTTATTAACTGAGAAATAAGGAAGACTTTTTTTTTTACATACATATAAATATACATACATACATACATATCTGTCACGCCTGTCTCCCATTAGGGTAGGCAGAAACAATGGAACGCCAAATGTTTCGATTTAACCTCTTTCGCTTCCTCCACATTCATAAATTTTTTCATTATAATGAACATTATAAAATTTAGATCCATAAAAAAACTAACTTCAATTATGACAAAAATGATTTTATTTAAAAATCAAACTAATGAATTTCTATAGTCTTATCTTGCCGATATGAAGGTACTTTCAAATTAAAAAAAAAAAATTGTTACAAGTTATAAGTATTTCGGTAGAATCAATGCTTCCGTCTATCTATCCATTTAAGAGCTGCGCTCTTGTCGGTGGAGCTCTTTAACGCTTCCGTATTCAATAATAATGAATGTCTTAACGGGCTATTTATTAAGCAATATATACTGCACTGAGAAGGTACATTTTGCTTTTTTTTTTGAGAATACACATGTCAGTACTCGTGTAAAGTATTATTTAAAATTATATGTTGATATTATGAATAGCAAATAAATTGCCAATAATGCCCGACTTATTTTATTAACATTATATATTATGTTATTAGTATATTAATGTTACTATTTTTTTTATACAACTTAGAATGGCAAACAAGCTGACGGCCCACCTGATGGAAAGTGGTAACTGTCGCCTATAGACATGAGCAGTACCATGGACATAACAGAGTATACTGTTTCGCCCATAATACCCCCATGCGTTGCCAATCCTGAGGACTCAGGTGTTATTCCTCTGTACCCAGTAAATTCACGCCATATTCCACCCTTCAAACCGAAACACAGCCATGCAAACACAACTGTTTCACGGTTGAAACACGAATGGAACAGAGGTACCCAAGCAATCGACTTTTGTACAAAGTCTCCCTCTGGTACTACTACTACTATCCAGTCTATTGTTATAGTTATATTTTTTAATACATTTAATAATATTTTTTATACCATATTAGTTGTTAATTATCCACTGCTGAACATAAACCTCACTCATAAGGGTGGGTTTAGCTAGGACTTGCCACGCTTGGCAAATGGTTTAGCAACCGCAGCTAGGCGTTGGATATGCTTGAGGTGGGATGCTGCTACTCATCTCTCGACCATTAAGTTCCGTTAATAAGTTACGACACACACAGGAAAGGAAGGGATGGCCTATTCTAAGCTTTGACCACAGAACCAATATTTAATAATAATTTAATCTTTATTTATTGATAAATAATTAATGATTTGGTGACATTATGGTTGAATTACTTTAAAATGGGCATCATTAAAAAACGATAATACAAAAGGTTTTAACAATTATATATGTATCTATATAAGTATCTATTATACCATTATGGTTTTCATTACGAGAATCGAGTCATAACATGGGGGCCGGGGACATTCCTCCCGCCTTATTCGAATGTACTTCACATATACTCTCTTACTCACACTACTAAATACTTTGTACATCTTTTTTCTTTCTTTCTTTCGGCTTTCTATGGTAAATGGAGAAATTATAATAAATGTAAATTGTAAAGCTATGAATTTTGCTTGAATAAACGAAAACATACACTACTAGCTGTTTCGAAGCTGTTCCAGGTGATGTAAAATATGTAATTTGCTTTTTTTTTTTTTTTCGCAGATGTTTTTTTTAATATTCAAATTTGTATCAGTTTAAGTATATCTTGTTTATGGGAATGTTTATTTTTTTCAACAGACTTTTATTTTTATTTCTTCTTCTGGACTTCAAAATGAAAGTTTTAAATTGGTTGTTTTTTTTTTATGTTTGTAACCTTGTAACTCCGTCAGCTGTAGATCAATTTGATTTTTTTTTTATCTGAAAGGAGATACTTTGAGATTAATCCCATAAAAGTTTTACCAAAATCGGTTCAATACTTTAGTTTTTAAATCAAAATAATTTGTTTTGCCACAATTGAAGATTTCTTTTGTGAGATATAGAGATAATGTATTTGTATTTACATGATAAATTAATAGATTGTTTAAATGGTATGTGTTAATAAAGAAATGATCTAAGGTCCACATCCAGGCAGTGCCCTCGGTACAGTGCCGTTGGTACGTTCAGATGTTTGTGGTACATAAATTGCAAGCTAGCATATACTATTTGACAATATAGTCAGAGAGTCTATAAAGTTTGCTACATGTAATTTGTACTGTCAACCAATTTTTGGCTAATGTATGTATGAATAGATAAGTAGAGTATTTCATATTAGGTTATGCATATGTTCCATGCATTGTAGCATAGTATATATGATAATAATTGGGTATTAAAAAAAAATTATTGTAAGAAAGTATCACAGAGTTATGATTATTACAGTTGTGTTGACCAAAACTGTACAAATGTCTGCATGGACACCTTTCTCCTACTGATGTTTCTATCGTGAAGCAGCTATATAGCAGTGGAATATGGCAGCAATGTGAAAGTTGTAGGATATGGAAACAACACCATGATCTACCAAGACTTAAAAATTATTGCTTCTTCACATTATACATGTGGATGAAGTAAATGAATATAATAGTTTTTTAAGTAGTTATGAGGACAAAGGAGGACCCAGAAATATAGCTTGTTTCGCTCACGAATTCATAAATTATTTGACTGAGGAAATAGTAAAATAATTTTTAGAAATCTCATGTGAACTAAATATAACAAATTTGGATAGACAGACCGGAAACAGCTAGTATGTATATGCATATAAAGATTTGATATTCTAAACCCAAAATCTCCAGAACCATAAAGCCGACATATTGAAATTTTTTATATTTTTCTTACGTGATATAGGCAGCGATAAATAAAAGTGTTTCTAAACTGTCTACAGTTTTGATGCTGTATATTAAGCTAACAAATTCAAAACACAGGCAAATGGGATTCTTGTGTTTAGGATATTAAGATGGCGTCCTTTCTCGAGGTCACTGATGAAATTAAGCAGTATTATAATTAAATTAATGAATAGTTAGAATTGTATTATCATAATGGAGGTAGTAATTAGTCATTAAATGTTGATACTAGAAGATTAGATGAAAAGTGAGTCACTACACTGAAATTGGTATTATATGTTTTAATTTTTTTTTTAATATTCAATGTCCTCTACTCAAAGTTTGTCTAAAAGAGATAGCTTAGTAATAAGTTCGCCTTTTTATCACTTCACTTCTCCTCAATTATCTGCTTTATTCCTTATTTTTATAACTGATGTAATAAATTGTAAATAAATAAAATACTTTATTCTAGTCCATAGCTGGTCAAAGACATTTTTATGTATTAAAAAAAAAAAAAGAATATTTTTTATTTACACCTTGTCCATTTTATTATGTTCTCTAAAACAGCTTTATCTTGTAATTATTTTTATCGGTTCCTCAGGTTTTTTTTTTTGCATAATTGAGTGACCTTTTTGAAAAGCTGACGATTTTTAAATCGTAAATACGCATTTTAAAGTTAACCTAATATCTAATGCTATTTCGAGAAAATAAGAAAAGAAACCAACTTGAAAGAGGTTTAAATTTTTACGGTGTCAACACGGGAATAAACCTAGAAACCTTTTTTTAAATAAAATAGTCTAATATCGGTCATAATTGTTAAATTGCATAACCTCTATTTCTTTGAAGTTGGTTAATAAAACGGACAAAGTGTAATTGGGCCAGCATTTCTTAACCTTGAAATTGGATGCAAGAAAGATTCTTTAAAATAAGAAAATTACCTATCTGTATTTTATCAATAGCATTAAGTATTTAGAATTTTGGATATGTCGATTTATTCTAGGTGCTGCTGCCGACACATCAATATTCTTACGCCGATCTCAGGTTAAGAAACGCTGGTTAGGGTAATTGGAAAGTCATACCGTCGATTAGTCCTTGGCCGTTAGATTCTAGATTCTTCTGCGATTATTCGCTCGACCGACACCTTAGCCACCACGCCTTCTAGATGTAGAATACTCTAGAATTTTTATATATTCGTACACATGAGAAATGTACCAACCCCGAACAGGCTGGAGTAAGAAATTATATTGAACGCATATTATTGGATTGTGCAGCTAACTACAGCTCGGCGCCCGCGGGCGCGTCGGCTGGCGGCAGTTGGACCAACTGGAATATGCCGCAGAACTCCAACTCAACTGGCTCTGGTGAGATATTTTGCCCCTTGCGGGATTAATCCTGATTATCCCCCGGCTATGTCGCCGAATTGGCTTGTGCGAGTAAATAGGGTATGCAAGGCTTGTGCGAGCAACATTCTTAAGTTAGGTAGAGCCCTATCTTATGAATTTCTATAAAGGAACATTTTCCTAATCATACTTATTATATAGGAGATATAATTTTCTCGGATCCATTAACTCTTTTCAGCGTCCGAACCACGTCTCTAGGGTTATTTTATCTCGTTTACATTTTTATCGCGGTCGGTGACTTTAGAAATATGTCGTTTATTTATCGTACTCGCTTAGTTTTTTTTTTTTCGTGTATGTAAGCGTTTCGTTAGTTCTAATCCAGCATAAAGCGTGGTGATCATTATACAGCCCAGCAACATCATCACCGCTAAGTTTAGTCGTACTGGGGTCGATTATGAAATGTCACTCTTTAAATTTCTAAAATTGAAGGTACTTTTAGTAAATATCAATTTGAATCTATGTAATTTTGTTCTCAAATATCAGTGAATAACTTAATTCCTAATTTGAGAATTTTATGACTGGCTTTACTCGTCATTTGAGTCGTAAGCCCCCGTTTATGTTAGATCTTATCGTTGCAAATGTGCTTTAAGAGAAATTCGAGATTTAAAGAATGACATTTCAGAATTGACCTCATTATCGTATGCCCGAGTTGCACTAATCACTTTATTTATATAGTACAATAAAATTTACGACTGTCTTTTTCCACTAATCCTACATCTAATTACAACAGAGGTGTAAACTGGGCGTATGGTAATGTGATGTGAAATAAATAAAAAAAAAAGTAAAAACTTATTTACGTAATAATAAGTTACTTCTAATGCACATGGAGTTGTAAATCCGATTTAATATTAGATTTTAAAGAGTTTAATATCACGCCTAGTTTTAAAAGCCCCTTGAACGTGTAAAATTAGTGTCGTGACATTTTCAATATAACTTCAACACATTAAAGCATGTTTCGCGTCACGTTAACACGGTAAAATCCTTGATGATGAAATCCTTGCATGGCACTAGTTTTATTAAAAAAATAACTTATTTTGCGTATTTAATAAACAATCGCCTTGTGTATTTTTGCCGAAATAGAATCGCAAAAATATGTAGTACAAAAAAGATTTTGTATTTCATTAATTCATGTCCGAGATTGTTTATCAAATACGCTAAGTGTAGGTAACGGACTAATTTTAGTGTACTAAATAGAATTGTAGTATGTAGCGTTATTTGAACGGTGTGGTTTGCGCCCGCGCAGGCTCGTACGTGCCGCTGTCGGAGGGCGGCGAGATGTACGGGCGCGGCGCCGGCGGCGGCGCAGGCGGCGGCGCCCCCGCCCTCACCGGCGGCCTGTCCTCCGCCGCGCTCTCCAAGTCCTCCTCCGCGGACTACTCCACCTACCAGCAGTACCCGCCCGCCTACCAGCAGGACCAGGTATGTGCCCGCACACATCCACATCGATAGTGGGCAGTTCTCGCGCTGGCAGACCGACGGAGCGACAGCGAAAGCTGTAATTCGTTGAAAAATAAACTTTATCCTCTTGAGCATACGGTTGAAATTTCTATTATAAAGTAAACATCTGTCATCTAGATGTTTTAAAATGTAGTTTTAAAACGTTTCTTGACAAGATGAATGGAGATTTGCTCGGCACCGAATTACTGCTCTGCGTTGCATACACTCGATCAGTCTAAGCTGGCCCTAATTACCCTTTTATCACTGCGTCGGTGTGACTGTTTCACTGAATTATCAAAAAATAGAAGCGCTAAATGCCGAATAATTATCAGAGTCGCGTTTTGACTGTATTTATAATTGGACTTATCATACCAAGGCGGCGAGGTTTTCTGGAACAGTCGGACTGACACAGTGTAAATAGGACATATACGCACACTAGTGCAATAGAATTGCTGATGACGCTGTAGCATTTATTATAAGGCTCAAATAATATGGTATATAACATCAGTTACAGAGTCATTTGAAATTTTATTGTAAACGTTTTCATCTTTAGATTATATCTATGCACGTTGTGGTTTTAGCTATAATTAAAGATGTAAAGACTGATTATTTTTTGCTACTTGCGTAAACATATCATTTAACAATTTCCAATATTGTATCTAAAATAACAACGTGTTAAGGTTGATTTTGCTTTATACGCGCATGCCTCTTTATTTAGAAGAAATTGCAAATGGCAATATATACTCAAAACTATCTCATTTTGTTTGTATGGTTATTGTACAAAATTATTTTACTGTTCTTTCAAATTAGAATTGAACAAATAGTATATATTGCCATTTGTAAAAATATATTACTCGTTTGAAACCAATATTTCGAAATAAATCGAATCGTTAATATGTTGATAAGTTGGTAATCGTTTTTTGAGTAAATATGTTATTTGGTGATATTGATTTTTGATATTATTATATTATATATTTTTTCTTAGAAATTTCATATTTACTATAAAAACTCATTAGTGCTGATAGATATTCAAATTATAATTGAAAAAGTAATTTAAAACGCTTTGTTTCACGTATATCAGTTATAGTTTGAATAGCTGACATTTATATCATGGGAGTGGGTGTCGGATCACTGATACTGGTCTATATCATATTTAACTAAGTGCTATGTAATTCAGTAATTATAGAAAATGTATGAAGTGTATAATTTTTAATAAAATTATCATTTTTGCATTATGCAATGATTGTACAGACATAAATTGCAACATAAAATGTGACGAATTTATCAAGTCCTTTCTTGTCATGATTTAAATTTAAAATTTATCAATGTTTTAGACCAGTTTTAGTGCCATTCCATAAATTGCCAGCCGCAATAACAAACTAGCATGATCCGGTGATGGTGAATTTTTTATAGGTTTACGTAATAATTTATCAATTATTAGAATTATATTTTGTTTAATTCAGTTTTTCTTTTAACATATTAAATTTTCACGAGATCGATATTGAATATCTAAAAGTAACGTGTTCGAATCTCTCTTTGATGCTTTTATTATAAAAATAAAATTCGTTTAACGCTGTATTATGCAGTTTCGTGTTTCAAAAGTTGCCAATATAGTATATATTCGTATTTTGCCTATTAATAAATAATAATGAAATATTAATTTAAATATTAAATAATCAAATTAGTTCTTTTTGAATGAATATTAAAGAACATCTTACAATAAAATGTATATAAAACACCATGAAACACGATCTGTGTCAGTGTGTCGTAATTTGAGATAGTTACTATTGTAACTATGTAACTGTATTTCTTTTACAGTTTTGTGTGAAGTTTTTAACATGTTAGATGGAAAAATCACTTGTATATATTCCATAGTTTTGCTTTCTCATATATCATTACCTACACTTTACCTACTATATTAACTTATATATAATTCCATCTAATATGCAATATTAATCGCAAACAATCCACTTCGATTCCTATAATTATATCTTGATTTTTTTATGTAACATAATGTTTAACAATCGGCGTGTTCCTTAATAAAAGTACAGCCAAGTTGATTGCCATACATTTCTGTGTTGTATAATTTGCAAAATTCCTCGGGGCTTGCTCTACCCATTTCCAAACCCATTTGTCTATATACCATGCTTACGTCTTTGATTTTGATCCTGCATTTACCACCTTGCCAATGCAGTTTTGGTGTGTTTGAACGCATGAGGCGTGTTAGTGTTCCTTTTCCTTCCCGTTTAGGGATGCTGCCCGAATGAGTTGAAAGAGTGATGTGATGAGAGTGAATGAACTCGTCTCGTGTTCAATGTAATTCAATTTGGTTGTACTTTGACGGTATTGTTTGCGCTTCACGAATGAAAGGCTATGGTGTATGGTATCAGTCCGGTGAGCGAGCGAAATTCAGCGAAAACGAATAGTACGCGAGTAGGCCAAATGTACCGCGGCTGAAATGCAGCATGAATTATATATAGAGCCATATTAGTTTGCCTCCCCTGCATCTGTGTGCTGTGTTCCGATTGCTTGTTATACCATTTACTCTCGGATATGACGCCCACTTCTGTGCATGTTTTCAGTGGCGAGAATCAATGTGCGATGTCTTTTTGATTTTATGAGCTATGCTGCGGTTCATTATGACGCGGCGCTCCAATGATACACTAGCCGCTCCTTCGGGACATTATAGTTGACAGTCGCACCGCTATCCATAGTGAAAAATCAAGAAGATTAGTGTTGTTATCGAGTTTCGCTGAAGGTCTCTCATCACCGCCCCTCCGCCTCCCATTCCTGATCCCTCCTCGCCTGACTCTTCATCTTGCCCTTGGGGATATTCACACGCTTTGGTCCATCTTCACGCGCTGCGCTACTTACATAAATCAGCTAAAAGATACCGACAATGTGGCGAGTGGGACTTTATGTCGTGTAATTCTTCTTTTCCAGTTGGTCGATCAGGGTCCACAAGAGTGGCTTCTCCAGAAAGACAATTAGACATAAGGGCGGGTTACGGATGAGGGGATGTCGCGAAATACTGGGATTTTTCTCACTATGGACGGTTCGGTTTATGCGACGATTTTGCGCGCGATCATCAAAAAGCCATCGCATAGCACTAGATATAAGCTTTACCTTAGTTTCATTCAATATTCATATTGCATTTTGTAGCCGTGCGAGATGATTCAATCGGTTTGTTTCATCTCAACACTTGTAAATTGGCATTTAAAGTACAAATTAGTAAAATTTGGATTTTCTCATATTGTTACAGGTTCATTAATAGTTAATTTTATCGTTAAAAATAATATTAAGAGCTGTACTTTAAGTGTTCAGAGATAATTACTGTTCTGTTAAATGTAACCATCGCAGAAATTAATGATTTACAAAAACTGTGTCAAAATATCATGGGGCATCACCGAATGCGGCCTCGCTCGACCAGGTCTTATCGAATCGATGACATTATGATGTAATAAAATGTAATACATAAACTGACGTCCTGGCCTCATTTCGATCCTCCATGAGCCGGACGCGCCGCAGCCGATGCCTCGGGCCGACGTTGGTCGGAGAGTTGTCGCTGGCTAGCTACGTGCTAGCAGCTAGTAGTAGTAGTGCGGTCGCGAGCGCGAGGCGAGGCGAGGGCCGCGTAGGGCCGGAGGCGTCCGCTCGGCGCGTCCGCAGGCGGCAGCCGCTAACGTGTGCGCGATGGCTAGGGCTCCTCGTACGGCGGCGGCGGCTCGCGCGCGTACGGCGCCGGCAGCGACTACCACGGCTCCGCGCCCGCCGCGCAACCGCCAGGTGTGCACACCCACCCGCACCACGCGCCCAAACACTTCAACGCGAACGAGTTTAACAAGGAGTGGCCCGCCGCGTAAACGCACGGCACACGCGCCCGCACGACACACGCGCCCACACGACACACGCGCCCACACGACACACGCGCCCACACGACACACACGCCCACACGCCCACACGACACACGCCTGAACCGTCTGTTACGCGCACCCGCGTAGGAGCTTAGGTGCTGCGCGCGCGCACATTAATCTCGAACGAAAAGCCCACAGTTGGCATTCGAATTGTCACCGAAATTCTATTCTCAGTTGCGCTAATAAATATCGACGTAATGTTTGTTGTTGCATGGATATACGCATACAATATATAGATGCTTACAGTAAAGGTTGTCCGCTATATACCGTTATAGCAGTAACGCTTTTGCGACGCCAGTGCGTGTACAAACGGTTTTCAGTCTAAATACGACACAGACTGCAGGTGTAATGATTGAGACACAGTCTAGCAAATCGTGACATATAATGTCAATGGACCATCACCTGTTTAATTTAGGCCGCCTTAGTCGTCCGATACTCGTAAATTTTAAACTTTTATATTAATATATTTATTCCAAGGCGCACGTTAGATATAGTGCAATTTTATATCAACGTCAATTTATTTAAACACATAAGTGAACGAACTATATTATGTAGTACTTTAAAAAGAGTAATTTTATAACAAATCGAAAGAGCGTCATACTTTTTGGTCACTACTAGAGTATAAAATTAAAGTAACGCAACATAGGCCTCCCGCAGGCGTTAAAGTCAAAGTCAATAAATAAACTACATCAACACAAACCCACACGTGTAAGTAAGGACATTAATTAATTTTAATATATATATATATTAATAAAAAAATATAGGATAACATTGACAAACAGTAGATTCTTTCTTGAGCTTGTTACTAATTTAATAAGGTAAAATTTGATCATGTTAGGATTGGCCAATATTATTGGCTCTACTATCTCTGAACGCTCTTGGAGAGAGCAAATGATATTAAGGGAACGGGTTGAAATTGAAGTTTTATAAAAGGTGGGTTCATGATATTACTCGGCCCGAAGTTTTCGCGACCCCTCTTCGACGCCGGTGTACCCAGAATATGTACACGCGTGTACGACTTATTTTTTTTTTGTAACTGCTTTATTTAATATTCATTTGGATGGGGGATTATTCTAGTGGACGTTTTTATTAACTTCACTATAATTATAATTTGTTTTAATTTTGTTCAAATTTTTATAATGATTTCTTTTAACGGTAGCCATTGTTGTTCGATGGGATCTCACTATATCGCGTAGTGGAGCATCGCTTTACGTAGTAAGGTAGCAGTAGCGTAGCAGGCCTCAGTAGCGGCGCGGGCGCGGCCCGCCGCGCGCTCGCGTGCCGCCATTTGACAGACACTGTTAAACAAAGCCAATTTAGGGGAAATGACCTAAACTTAACTTAAGCTATAATAACTTGTATAAATATTTGGTATATATATTGGTATGTATGTTTAATATTAGAATTTTGGTTATACTACACACACTAGACATTAGGGAAATGGTAGAGATGTAATGAAATAATTATGTGTTAATATTTAAACAAAACATAGTATGACTGAACGTGATTATATTTTAATTTATTCCCGTTTATAAAAGGGGAACAATCTGTATAAATATTCGTAATTATAATTTGTTTACTATGATATGCATTTTAGTTTTTTATCGCAATTTTAAGTTGATAATATGGAATTTATATTTTTAATGAATTAAATTTACCTGCCAAATTATTAAACGGAGCAAACGATAACGTATTTGTTAAGTAAATGAAGCTCAAGCATTTTAGGATATAGAAGTTGGAAGCTGGCGGCCGCCGCGGCACCCGCGCCCGGCGCCGCCAGCACGCCGCACCCCTCGCGACGCACTCTCTGTATATATATATACTTGCTTGTGTGTAAAGCATAATTTTAATCGATTCTCTCGTCACCTATGTAGTTTTAATTTATGATTGCCAAATATTTTTAAAACTGTATAGAGCTTTCGACGGCCACCGCGGCCTGTATGTTAGTCGTATCATAATATGGACGGAGGCGGCGGCGCGGCGCGCGCTCGCCCACCTCCCTTACAAAGTGAGTTATAATTTAAAATAACATTGTTAGATTAAATTTAATGTTAGTCCTTTACTGTACTATATCGCTCAATGATTTGACCGATTGACTGATTAAAATTTTAGTGATAAGCTAAGTAATTAAAGGGAGGTAGCGAGGCGAGCGCGCGCCGCCGCCGCCACCCGCCCGCGTCTCGATGCATTATTTGTTGTAATTATCTTAGAGTTTACGGACGTACTGATAGACTGGCCGCCCGCCCACGCGCGGGTGGTTGTTCCTTTAATTTTAAATAAATAAATAAATAAATAATAGAACCGCCGCCGGCTGCACGGTGCGCACGATAAGATTTGTTAAGAGATGTTTTAAATAGACAAATTGTTGATGATTACATTGAATGCATAATTTGAACGTTAGTATAGGGTTATTTAAGATCGCTCCGTAAGTAAAGTATAATTTATCTATGAGGAATATTGAGGTGTATAAGCAAATTTTTATAAGTGACGCGGTCCGCGGCGAGGGGTGCGGAGTACCAAATTAATACGATTATTAAAACATAGTGGAAAACGCCTTTACATTGTGATTGTTCATATATAACATTCATATTGGTACATTTCTTATAGCTCTATATATCTATATCTATCTATATATATATATATATATATATATGACACACGCGAGTGAGACGCAACCAGTATGTATGTAGGACTCGAAACTCGTACCTTGTAACAATGTATTGAAATAATGTTAACTATTCGACGTCGGTGCCTGACTGCCCATTAGGTTACGTATATAGTTGTGCCTATTAGTGCCGCTTCGTTTACACTTGGTTCCTATGTTAGTTAGGTTAATTTGTTTCCATTCATTCCTCTGTAACGCGCTGTCATAATGTTCAGTTCACGTCGCTCACTTCACTGTAACCATACTAATTCGTTGATACTAACTCCCCCGCTCGCTGTCCTACGTACGTTAATTTCGCACGGTCCCCTCGGCGGTGATCAGTTCGCATCATCAATTCCATCATTCGGTTATAATTGTTACTTACTGTAGGTTTAATGTACAACCACCGATGATAATACGATGAAATTGTTCACACCTGTTTTAATGTTAGGAAATGATGCCTTAACAAATGTTAAGTGGATGTATAAACAATTTATATTATGTTTAATTTCAGTGATATTGATTAGCACTAAGATGTAAGATACGGGCTCGCCGCCCGCACTCACAAACCTTTGGAACAATTAAGAACTTAGTTTGTAATGAAGCAACGTGGCAATCTTATATTTAACATAAAGAGTATAATTTATTTAAATAAAATTATGAATATGTATTAGAAATTTTAGATTTACTCAAACATTAAACTTAGTGCAAATTATTGTGAAAATCAATTGATGAGACTATTTATATGGGTTTTAATTATTATTATATAGGAGAAAACATAAAATATTGGATGAATTTATTAATTAAAAATAGTTAGCAAAATACAAATACGGTAAGACTCGTTAGAGGCTGGTCTGTCAAATGGCGACTCCACACGGTCGCGCGGCGCGCGCGCCCTGCGTCTCTACTGCACGACGACTCGTACTCGTGGCCCACTCACGGCCGCCCACGGCCGCCCACGGCCACCCACACAACCACGACCGCGTACGCGGACATACACATACACACTACTCGATTTATAATTATGTACACAGTGTACGCTGAATATTTAATTATGTGAAAATATAAGAAATATTTTGTACAAACCGTGAGTGACACAACACTTGCAACCTTTTGCATTTTAATAATTACACTGAGTAATATCGACATAAGATATATTATATACTGTATCTTAATAATAATAATGTTTATGGAATAATATATTTAAATCATGGCTTATAACAGTAGTACTGTTGTGTAGTTAACCCTTCAAGTCTTGTTTGTATTACTTTATATTATAGTGTACGCGGTTTTTTATATGTGTATGTTTATTCAGTAGATATATAATAATGAAAACATGTTTGTGTAAAAGTGTATTTTGGTATTATTATAAAGTAACTTAGCCGCACAGAGCACGGGCACGGCGGCGGGCTGCGGCCGGCGACCGGCGGCGGCGCCCGCGCACCGTGCCCACCATTAATACATTTATTATCGTAATTGACTAATTATACAAGACCCCTAGTAATAGTTAGATCTAGCACCGACTCTTATTAAGTTCACCTTGGACTCGTCTTAGTAAATTTTAATAAAGTATAATAATTAATTTGCATTTAGAGTGTGTCGTCCGACTGTTTTTATTGTAGTCCACTCACATGGCTCACATTAAAAACAATGCAGGTATTATTAATTATAAAACCTCATATTTATACTAGAATTTAATATAAATGTAATTATTGAATCCATTTTATGATAAAATTGCACAGGCTTTACAGTTAATTAACATTAATTAATTATTATAAAACATAGGGCAAGTTGTTGTTATTATTTCTGTTTTAATTAAAAATTTTGATGTTAATTATTTTTTAAACTATATTTTTTTATAGTGGATTAAAGTACATAATTCTCGATCTAAATAGATAACAAAATTGTTAGGTGAACTATTGACTGATGTACCATATTTAAAGTATAATGTTTACTTACGGCAGTATATAAGTTTACTTAGGCCGCCCACGTAGCGGGCAGCTGTGTTTATACAGACATGTGTATTAATTTCATAAAATGTAATTAATTGGAAGCGGCGTCCGCGACCGAAGCCAACAAATTAAGCATGTTACAATTGTAAGACTATTATCTAGATTTGTTATAATCTTATAATATGTAATCTACATACTATACTTAGCCCTAAAGTTGAGCATAATGACTGCGTGAAGCCTAGAGTGAGCGGGCGGAGGCCGCGCGCGGTCGCCGCCGGCCCCAGCGCGCGTCCTCCGCTTGCTCCGTATAAGTTTACTTTATGTTCGTTATATAAAAGGAAAATTATGATAGACTAACATGGACGTCCTTGTTAATTCTTATATATTTTTTTTTACATTGATTACCTAATGATAATTAGTTAATTACGGTCTTAATTATTAATTTTAACTGAAACACTTAAGTAAGAGAACTCCTTGTATGCGATGAGTTGTTCTATATAATAAAAAGTGCTATCACGACATTACACTGATTTTTTCGACGTAGCGTTATGCATTATTCATTATAGGTATTTTGGGTATATATTAGTGTTAGATATAACAGATAACATATAAGTAATGTAGTTTGTAATGTAATGGAAAATAAACAGTTTTTGTCGTAGTTCTCTATTATTAAGCTTCTTCTATCTATAATGGTTTAAGTAATAATACTGGTTATTAATTAAAATATTAATATTACCATTGCAAATATTTGAGACATCTTATGATGAAATATATATCTACATTAAGAACATTATTGAACTTAGATAATTAAAAGGAATCAAAAGTTTAAAAATAACACTGGCATTTTTAATGTGTCTCCCCATCCCTTAGTATAGTCACCCCCCCCCCCCACAGTCGTCACCGTTTGACATATTTAGTTATCATAATTTTTGTTTTTATACCGAGACATAAAGTTTATAATTTTCTTGTCCCATAATAGTCTTACACCATTAAATAATATAGATACTAAAGTCTAACAACCATCACAATGGATCCAGATTTTTATGTTCAGCCGATTCAATTAATTACCGTCGTGCCATTGGTTATGTCTTCCTGCTTGCACTTCGTTTCTTATATATTACACATTGGACACAATCTTTACTAACACATACACTTTCCATATTACTGTCACTAAACAAATGTATTGATCTAATTTATTCACACATTTCCCAATTAATTTTACCATCCATTTTAATTTTTGTCGTCAGTATTTTGGATTGTAAAATCGTTTGTAAACAGTTTTCTGTAATGTAAAGTTGATTAAAATCAGGAATGGCAACGTATGAAGGTCACTACTAGAGTATATTGAGATTGCTACGGTGCTATTCATATCCGCAAACGACCACTTTCTATTAGTTGGGCCGTAAGCTTGTTTGCCATTCTATGTTGCATAAAATATTCTTTTAAGGAAGTGTTCTACATTTTATCTATAAAAAAAAAAAAAAAAAATTATCTAATGAAACAAACATTGAAAAAGATTAATTTTGAGCCTTTTATGTTAATTTGATATCTGGTCTCGTAAAACATGAGCTAAAACTTTTTATTTCTTGACTTACATGTTAAATGGTTTTTTTAAACGGTGAAAATGAATATACCCTTGCGAGGGTACCAGTGACTTATGAAAATATTAATATTGTAAAACCTTTATACAGGGTTGCTATCTTAATTTTTTTTTTTGCCCTGGCTTACAAATATAGATAAATCCTCACCTATTTTATAATATTTTAAAAACCTTTACACAGGGTTGCATTGTTACATTTTTTTTTTACCTGGTTCTCACCTATTTTATATTTTTCTGCTTCATCCTCATGAAGCAGGCCAGTTGGTCCACCAATTCAACAATAATTAACAACAAAACTATATATATTGCTAGCAATGGGTTACACACCCCATTACTAACAAACCCTTTTTCTCTCCATATGGGTAATATTTAGTTGGTGTAGAACGCTCCTTTAAAACGATGTTAATGTATTTGTATTCGGCCTATATATTTTTATACGATCAGTAATAACAATAGCAATTTAATTTTTTTTTTTAAATAGTTTTTGAAATGTATATTGTAATCGTCCAGCCAACGAATTTACAATCCAATTCTCCTATTATCTAGAATACTGATGAAAGTATGACTGTCGCAAGTAGGGTTAACCATCCCTCTAGATTTGTTCGGGCTTGTTTTAATTTCTCCAGATTTATAACAGACTTCAAATAATTGTTTGTTCCTTGAAAAAAAAAATGACTTAAATTTTAGCAAAAGTTCCAATTAATTTGATTTAAAAACTAAAGTATTGGACCGATTTTTATAAAAAAAATTATGGGACCAATTTGAAGTCTTTATTGAAGTCGATTGAAAAGAAGGAGGTTCTTAATTCGACTATATATTTTTTTATGTTTAAAATAATTCCGTCATTTATTAACCGATTTGGAAAATTCTTTTTTTAGCAAAGGAATGATTCAATAAAAAAATCACTAAAATCGGTTCAGTAGTTATTAAATCAAAATAACTGTTTTTACTACGATTGAATTTGCTTTTTTTTTTGTCGAACAAATTTACTAATTTGTATTTTTCGCATTTTGTTATCTCATATTGCGATTAGTTTCAGTCAGGACTTTCAAATTCTGAAATGGCAACCCTAGTCACATGCTAACACTGTTGATGGTAGAAGGTGACGACGTGAGTAACGCCGGCAGTCCCAAGTTCCTGAGCGTGGCACCGATGAGTGACGCTATCGGATCCCACCCACAGGTTCCATATAACGTGTACTGTGTAGGATATTCGTAGTTTAACAGAAAAAAGATGCCTTTAAAATTAGAACACAAATTAATATTTAGAAAATACTAATTAAAATCGGTTTACAATTGTAGAAGTTGGGTACCTGGTTGTTAACATAGTAGGTAATGTAGGTTTTTGTCAATTAATGAAACGGGAATGGTAACGCCGCCAGCACTATCGGTATACGCTGGCAGGGCTCCAGTCAGACAGATGATAGGCAAGGATGAAGCAGGTCAATTGATCCATCGTCATGGTTCCAACAATATTCACGATGGTTTCCAGGGGATCCGCGTGGTGATCGAATTGATAGGGTGTATTGTTAGTAGTGGTACTATAGGTATGAAGCTTATCACTAGATGGAGCTCTGTGTTGTTTATATTACTGCACGGAAAATCAAGAATACTGCATGCTCGACGACTCATTCTTACAAAGTGTCTCTCGAAACTTGCATGGTTGTACTTCGATTTGAAGGATGGCATATGGCTGTGAAATTACAGGGCACAGAGGTATAACATCATAGTCTTTAAGCAACGCATGAGTGTCTACAGGCGATGGTCACCTTTTTTCATCACGTGAGCCGTCGGTATATTTAATGCTCAATGGCAGAGCTTTTTATATAATTTAGAATGGCAAACAAGCTGACGACCCACCTGATGGAAAGTGGTAACTTTCGCCTATAGATATGAGCAATACCATGGACATAACAAAGTATACTGTTTCGCTCATAATACTCTTCATGCGATGCCATTACTGAGGACTTGGATGTTATTCCTCTATACCCTGTAAATTCGCTACCATATCTCACCCATCAAACCGAAACACAGCCCTGTAAATATAACTGCTTCACGGTAGAAACATCGAATGAAACAGAGGTGCCCAAGCAAACGGCTTTTGTACAAAGTCTCCGTCTGGTAAGCTATATGGACCGTTCATATGTTGGTGAATGTACTGAATGCTAGTTTGTCACAATCGACCAATATTTAAATATAGATTTAGGGTCACATCATCGGTCTATCAGGATATGATTATTGTAGATATTTAGGGCAGATTCCGAGGTGCTGTTTCTCTGAACCTCTAAAATTGAAATTTCAATTTGATTTCTTTACAAAGTATTGTTAGGATCAGTATGAACCCATTTTCTAATTCAGATTCAGTTCAAAAATATTGTAATTTTAGTTTTCTTTTTTTAAATGGGTGAAAATGGAATGGTAACCCTGCGGTATTGGTATACGTAAACGGGGCACCAGTGATAAATGATAGGTGAAGATAAAGACAGGTCAATCAGCCCATCGTGAAGAATTCGACAAGAATTACGCACGATGGTTTCCAGAGGAAACCGCGTGGTGGTCAACCTGATAGAGTATATTGCTAGCAATGGGGCTCTTAGAACTTATTACTAGTAATCCCTTTCCCCCTGTAATTTTAGTTATCGCTTTACCATTATAATATCTACTCGAAAAATTCTTCTGTGTCACGAATTTTGACAAAACATAAAACTGAAAATCCACAAACTCTGATACTTAAGGCAACTCGTCAATATTGAATCAGATTTAGATAGATTCTTAGAAAGTTACCACTTTCATTCACGTAATATAACATAAATATAATTTTTTTTTGATTCGATAATTTTGCAAAATAGTCAAATGAATTTAAGTGGGTTTAGAGAAAAAACACATCAAAATCAGCCCAAAGTTTGAAATTACGAACTTACGATCTCTATTTGGTTTTGCGGTGCTCGACCGTTGCATCACGGTATACAAACAGTAAGACGATTCAAATGTATAACAATTAATTTAATGGTATAAAAATAGTGTGTTCACCATGAATAATTTCCGATTTTAATTCGTAATTTCCGACTATACTAATATTATAAAGAGAAGGATTTGAGCGTTTGTAATGGATAAATTCAAAACTACTCGATTTTAAAAATTCTTTCACATATAAACTACGTTATCAGTATGTACTTATATATATTTTTTTCAAAATTTCTGTCCACCCGTGCGAAGCGGGACCGGACCGCTAGTTATGTAATAAAATGAAAAACCCAAAAAATATATAAAGATATCGGTCATACACACGACATTTGTAATGTCGGGTTCTCACTATTCTACCGACATGTCAATCATGCAATCAAAAAGTAGAAATGGGTTCAGAGGGTTTATCCGTAGGGGTGACAATATTTAAAACAGATATTTTAATAATTTTACATAACTACTTATTTTCCATTAATAAAAAAATAATACTTCTATCCCCATATTCATAAAAACTAAATTTTCTACGAACCTTCATTAATAAAAAAGTAATACTTCTATCCCCATATTCATTAAAGCTATAATTTTCTACGAATCTTCATTAATAAAAGGAGTAATACTTCTATCCCCATATTCATAAAAACTAAAATTTTCTACGAACCTTCATTAATAAAAAGAGTAATACTTCTATCCCCATATTCATAAAAACTAAAATTTTCTACGAACCTTCATTAATAAAAAGAGTAATACTTCTATCCCCATATTCATAAAAACTAAAATTTTCTACGAACCTTCATTAATAAAAAGAGTAATACTTCTATCCCCATATTCATAAAAACTAAAATTTTCTACGAACCTTCATTAATAAAAAGACTAATAATCCCCATATTCATAAAAACTAAAATTTTCTACGAACCTTCATTAATAAAAAGAGTAATACTTCTATCCCCATATTCATAAAAACTAAAATTTTCTACGAACCTTCATTAATAAAAAGAGTAATACTTCTATCCCCATATTTATAAAAACAAAAATTTTCTACTAGTCTATTTTAATTATTACACTGTTTTGTCACTTTCAAATTATGAATTTAGCACCAAAGAAAAAGAAAACAGTTCAATAACTAAAATTGATTTATGAGAGATTTAACGTTTTTATGAATAAATGAGGGTAAATTGAACTGATACAATAATCATGTAATATAAGATTTACATTAAATTATTCAATGAATATTATATATTAATGAAAATATGAAATAGTCATTAAATTTTCGCTAGTATATTTATATTTTAATGTAATAAGTACCGCTTTAACTTACGTATAATTAGCTCGAAAAAGCTCGACTAGTTTCGGGATCAATTCGTGATCCTTAGTCATGAATGACTGTGACGCGAGCACAAGCCTAACTGCGTGCCTCGGCCCGTTGAGTATTTATATATGCAATTTGTTTATGGTAGGTATTAAAGTTTTAAATGCGTTTAAATGATATAATGATTTGTGTATTAAATGCCATTTTTCAAATTATAATTTATGAACCTTATTATTTTTGAAAATGAAAGTATATAACAGACTCGTTTATATATTTATATATTGTCTAATTTTTAGATACTTTACGCTACCAAATTACCGAGTAGGTAGTCCCAACTGTTGTAAAAATGTAAAATTATGGTATCAGGTGGCGATGATGTTTTGTGGCGGTATGGTGTCGCCCCAGCCCTCGTTCTGTAACGTTACCGACATGTCTTCGTCGGTGTCAGGTCTCTATTACGATAATTTCATGCAACACTTTCAACGTAGGTTTGAGTCTTATCAATAGTTTAACTTCCTGGTAGTGGGGGAACGTGTAGTAAGTATATGGTATATCCCTAGATCCATGTAGCGTGTGGCGTCCACTGTTTATTGTATTGTATTGTATTGATAGATTGTACTATCCGTTTCGTATTCGAATAGTTTTCGACAGAAATCTGTTAACGCCTCTATTACCTGTCACGTTACAAAGAGAAACGATTTTAAGTATATCTGAATGATTATGTAAATCTGCTTTGATTTCAATAGTGAATTAAAATGTTAATCATGGAACTAGTTCACACGAATCGAACACAAGTATTTTGTTACTATATATTTGATACTTTGCTTTTGAAATTCCTAAATATGTTTTTTTTTTCATTAAAATCCAAAATCTAGTGATAATCCAAAAGAAATCTTACTGCTTAGTTAACGATTTAGATTGTTAAAATTATCATTTCAGAAATAAATAAAAATTGTTTTTAAGAAATGACAGATACTTCAGACGTTTGTAGAATTCGCGTGAAACTTATTTTGTAAGTGGTAACCCGTAGCGATTAACGCATGCCACCTTAAATATGTAGTTTTCAGAAGAGAGTTAATTGGTTACCTCATTGTTATAAACAAAGCTGTCATCAATAATTCAATTTGATTTATTAACCAAGTTGACATGTTTTAATCGGACCGCGCAACGGCATTGAAAATTTATTGATTAATGATTATTCTCAAATTCTATAAGATGTACATTTTGGGTGATTGATTTAGGTTAGTTTAGGTGCAAACGGAGTTTTGTTCACACGCAAAAACGAAAATGTTTAATGAAATTTGAAACATCACTAAAAATAAGTTTTTGTTTTTGCTTTAGTAATATGTATGTCTGTTTGTCTATGTTTCTCTGTCTGTCTTACCGATTATTTGAATACGAGAGTATAATAGGCGAAGGTAATCTGTATTATAATACACTGGGGTCAATTCTGAGTTACCATTTAAAAACACTCTTTTATTTAATATTTTAATTTGATAGTTTCGCGTAATTATTGTTTTATCGACCACCATAAATTAAATTTTGACTTTATTGGACATTTAGTTCGTTTTGGTCCTTGCAATAAATATTTCGTTGTATTATCAAATAAAAATTTTTGTTTTAGACATAGATTTAGAAAACGCTATTTCTATCTCTAAAATTGAAATTACTCTGAATCTATCCCAGTGTTTGATAGTTACGATAACGAACGATAGGGATTGTAGTTTAGCATGATCTATCAATACCAGAGGTTTACGGCTCAAAGGTTGGTTGAATGTGGGGCGTGGTGCGGTAAGTTTCATATTTTATTTTTTACTAATTACAATTATCAAATAGCAAACATTAAATCTATTTAAAGTTGTATTTGAAATGATATAATGTAGATTCAAAAATTCACTTGTGTTTGATTTGTCAGCTTTGTGATTTTTATACTGTTCACCATCCAGGTGACGATTATGAGTACACCGGAGGTTCAGGAGATGGATATCAGAAATCATCCAAGCGCAGCTTTCATGGGACATCATCAAGCGGAGCAGCATCGGCATCATCTTATCATCCCTATAGGCGCTAACGAGTGAGCGCCCGTGTTTACCCTTTTTATAATTATGCTATCCTAGTACCTACATTGAGGCGACGCGTTATTTGTGTTTGACTTCAGATATCTACTATATCGATGATAATGATTTTGACGGTCGATAATTTAGAGTTACACATCTCGGGCTCAAGTCTCAATTGATTGCTTTATTTTCGTGAGGTTCTCACGAACAGTCGAGACTCGAGTTTGTAAGTGATACATGTATTATATCTTTTTTTTTTAAACAATACAATCATTGAGTTTTTACATTTTTTTTTTTTGTCGGAGACGAGTCTATAAGAAGCGTTTCTCTAAACTCGTGTATTTTGGATGTATTTATTAATAGTTTATTTTGGGGGTAGTCGAACGTTGAATGATTCGACAATGTTCGACATTTAAATTTTAAAAACTATAGCGTAATTAGTGCATGTAACGTATTCTTATAAACTTCTGTCCGAATTTATAATAGACTAGATTATGTTTCTTACTTTTTGTGTAGCGTGGATATATTATCCGGTTAAAGTTAACATTACAAATTGTTTGTTGTATCCATCGGTTAAATATATATATTATAGAACATATAAACCCGCTGTTTATATAATTATGACTAAAAATATCAACATTTTAAGACAACGTTAATTACATAGATTATGTATTCATATTTGTTTCAACTTTATAACCAGATAATAGAAATCGTTTAGGTACCTAGAATGGGTTTGATCTAAAATAGTTTTGATTATAAATTAACATGATCTATTTTGATGTAATAAGAGTTTATATAGGTAATAGTTGACTTAAAATTTAAAGTAAATATCTATAATTTTTAACTGATTTCTAAATGAAAAGGAATTGTTTTTTACTATAAAATATTTTATAGGAATTTAACGTTAAATTCATCACAGTTGCCATCGTATGTACGTATGCCTACTCTTGTACCTATTACTCGAATGTAGTTAAATTTGATTTCATAAATTTAAAAATATTTTCAAATACTTAACCCTGCATTTGGGTATCTTATAACATAGGTTGTAAAATTTGCTTTCGAACAGCTCGAGCTGATAGGAATCGAACCCACGTCTATCCTGTCTGAGAATGTATTTTGTTACATAATAGAATGAATCCAATATTACATTTTTATAGATTTACAGTTGGCAAATCTTTTAATCACTTTTTCAAACGTCATCACATCTCACATAGGCGCCATCTACCGATTTTATAGATTAACTAACGACTTTGTTGTAGTACGATAAGCAGAGAGATGTGGTTTCGAATCCCATTGGATGTTTTAAAGGTACATTTTTCATCTTAGCAATCGTGTTTGGATGAAATTTGTCGTGTTCGATTTTATAGTTTTTATAATGTACTCGTAGTTCCGTGTAACGTATACGATTTTTTATTTTTTATTTTTCATACTTGTGCACTCATTTGGTTTTTTTAGACATTATCTCACTTGGTATTTTTCACTTGAAATTTTCTTCCATTGTTACTCTCTTGACCACTTGTATTTTTGTTTAATAAAAGTACTAATTATTTTAAGTTTCATTTAAATTATAACAGAAAGACTGGTTAGATGTATCCTCACGTTGACAAGTTCGCGCTCGATGCTTCTGTCTCCATCAGATCCGTTGCGAATAAATAGGTCATAATAGAGTATATTTTTATAATAAATTATTTTATTTTTGAATCATTTTAAATTACATTTTATAACACAAATAGGTAGACCTTGTTAATATATTAATGTACGATTAAAAATTTATGACATCAGATAAGCACAATCCAAAATAGATGAGAGATTGTTATTAATGTAATTAAAATGAATGTTCATAGTTTAACGTTGTAATATAAAATAGTATTAATGTACATTATGTTATTCTTAAATATTATAAAATTTAAATGCAGTTAAAACGGGTCTGTTACCTTAATTCAGACAATTCTATTGTAGAAGATATGTCTAAATATAACATTAGCCTCTTAAATTAAGACGTTTATTAATATATATATATATATATATATATATATATATATATATATATATATATATATATATATATATATATATATATATATATATATATATATATATATATATATATAACACACAGAATTTATTTCTTAGCTTAGCCATTTCTCGGTCATAATTTTAATTTTAGCCACCTACACATTAATTTTATAAGTAAGATAATTTGGCATAGTCTTTTATATAAAGTAAATCGTGTTATTATAATAAATTAGTTTTACGAAATTGTTTATGTACTAGTAGTACTTAACGTCAAAATAAATTGTGTAAAGATATTTTTCACATTATTTCCTTATGTTAACACTTATTCTAGAATCGTAAGTTACATAAACTATAGTTAATGGACAGAAATTGCGTCAACACTCGTGTGTTATCTCCTTAATTACAAAAGCGATTTTGGATGTGCATTTTACATTAAATATTAAAATTCAACAAGTGCATAAAATATTAAAGTGAATGATGGAATATAATATTAGGTAAATAGTGCCAGTCAATGGCACGAATACAGCAGGTGAATACACCGGGTAAGGCACTAGGATAGAAAATAGAGAGTTATATATTAGATATATATATATAGGATTTCACTAAGAATTGACCAGTTCCTTGTCGAAGGCCACGGTCTAAACGAACAATCATTGACGCTACATATAAATTTATTTTCAAAAAAAGGGCAAAATGTTGATTTTAAAGTGTTAATTTGGATGAAAATTTCACAATTAGGTAAATTGATGCTCATAGAAACTTTAATCTATAAACATGGATTAAATTAGATGGCGTTACATGTCTTTGTGTGTGTTTTTTAATAATGAAGTTTTTGTACATGAAATATCGTATTTGCACAGAAAAAGATTAAAATGCTCATATGTAATATTATGTACCCTATTTCATTGACAAACGATAATGAAATACATAGTTGCTTCTATTAGATAATTCAAGGGTTTTTGTCAACAAGGTTTGTTTTGCAAAGATAATAAAATTAGTAAAGCTTTATTGAGCAGTAAGTACAATCACGCTACAAATAATAAACATTTGATATAGTCAGTTTCCCTCTTGGGTTTTTTATTTAAATATACCTCTAGATACTAGAGGGCGACTCTCCCACGTGCATAGTAGTAGTTGTACTATAAACTGTACTTAGTTTGGATGTAGATGGCGCTGTGTGATAGGTATACCCAAAAATATTTATTCCCTTTTATAATTCAAATTATTTAATTTCTAATTTTATTATAATTTAAACACAGTTGTAAAATACAGTAATTAAAGCAACTTATTTGTAAAGAGAAAGAGTAATCCGACATGCCAGATGACGCTTTGATGTCTAGGAAGCTGACTGCGTCTAAAATGTTTACTTATTGCACGTGACAGTTAACAAATAAATGCTAGTTCGTTCGTCGAGTCCACAGACAGGGCACGGCGGGTATCGGTCGCGTGAGAGAGGTGGTGGGACGAACTTGGAACGTGTCTCATGGCTCCGTGGTGGAGGGGCGGCGCGCGGCGCAGTTGGCGCACGCGCAGGCGCGCGCCGCGCCCTCTGCCGGCAGCTGCGCGTGCGCCGCGCGGTAGCACAGCTCCCGGTAGCGCGCGCAGCCTGCAAATGTATATGTGGAACTTTATATAGGTGTAAGTATGGAACGATAAGGCTTATCCTCAAACTGATAATGGTGGGCTATATTCTCCTCACATAAGGGGTGGACTGTAAAGGAGAAGCAGCGTCCGTGTCCTGCCCCGAGCATTGTGTACACGCAATGTACGTAATACAGTGTTAAGTATGCGTTTAATATTTTAAAGGTTCATATTATCTCAGTAATTTACTTTTTTTTTATATACTGAAGCAGTATATTTTATGTAAGAATGTCACAAGTATGCATGAATGAATGAGAATCTATATTTATTGTTGTGAGTACATGGAATGAATTGGTTAGTTGTATGAGATAACAAGCTTCTATGATGTTAAAAAAGACCCACACAGACGACTCTCTTTACCACAAGCAGCAGATTTTTCTTTATATAACTATGGGCACACATAAGCATACAACCCGTCTGATGGTAAACGGATTTACCGGAGCCTATGGACGCCTGTAACATCAGGGAAGTTATGCGCACGTTGCCGACTCTTAAGAAACCTTAATACGCCCTTTTTGAAGTTCATGCTGTAATCTCTAGGGAAAATCTCAGCAGAATGATCATTTTACAACCTGAGTGCGAGAGGAAGCTCTTCTAAAACTGCAGTCGTACCTTAGAATCAAAATGGTTACCATCCTAATTCTAAAGTATAAGTATGGTTTCCCTGTCGATGGCGATGGGTATGATGGTGAAAAACTTGTCTTTGTATTGGGAATAATGCGTAAAACGTATTTCTTTGAGTCATTAGCTAGATATGGAACAACATGCGTTTTTGTTCAACAAATAAAATTACTAAGAAATTAATAACCTGTAGGAGGCAGCGCCAGACGAGTGTCCGCCGCAAATCCGCGCTGTGCCAGTCGGTCTAGTAATGTCGTAGCTGACCATCACCGCTCGCTGTCGTGTTCAGCGCCTGTAACATGCATACGACAGTGTAATTGAATTGATTTATCATCATATCAGTCATTAACTGTCCTCTGCTAAAGATAGGCCTTCCCCATAAAGGGGTATTCTACCAGTAAATGCTTCGCTTGGCAGATGACTTGGCAACCACGGGTTTTTGGTGATGTATTAACCTCTCAACTGTGTCGCGTCCGCTGAGCGGATGCGAGTGTATAATATTGTACAAAAAATATATAATTTTACATCTAGTAAGGTGTTAGTTTTTTAATAATTGAAAAATAAAAGGTAATTTATAGGTGACCCCATTTTATTTCTCATAGAACAGTTGCAATGCAATTCAAGTTGAGTGTGGTGTAAGAAATTACATAAGGAATGTAGTTAGAATATAAATCTAATCTCAATTTTGTATAATTCCAATTAGATTTCGGAAAAATCAGGTTTTTTAAACCTATACGCTAAAAATACCTAGTCTGTGTAAAGTCTGCTCACGGGACGCCACAGATGTGGATTTTCCACCATTTTGCATGACACAGTTGAGAAGTTAAGAGACGCGGCTATATCTTTCGACCATTAAATTTCCTTAGTCGCCTCTTACGATACTTGAGAGTAAAGGAAGTGGTGGCCTATTCTATGCCGGGATCGCACGCCAATTAATACTATATACTAGCGACCCACCCCGGCTTCGCAAGGGTGCAATACTAATACTAAATATCGCTGCCGGCCCATTAAAAACTTCTAAAATTATCAGTGTTTTTCTACTATATTATGCGTGTATTATACATATAACCTTTCTCTTGAATGACTCTATTAAAAAATCTGCATTAAAATCCGTTGCGTAGTTTTAAAGATCTAAGCCTACATATGGACTGACAACAGAAGCGACTTTGTTTTATACTATGTACGTGTTGAAGCAGTGTGTGCAGATAGGTATATTCTGCAGATATAAACTGCGACTTCAATTGTAACAAAACGGACTAATGAACGACGAAATGCTTCGTAGGCACATTACGTTAAAAATATTTTTTTTTTTTACAACACAGGGGGCAAACGAGCATGCGGCTCACCTGATGGTAAGTGACTACCGCCGCCCATGATCACCCACAACACCAGCGGCATTACAGGTGTGCTGCCGGCCTTTTAAAAAGGAATATACTCTTTCCTTGAAGGTTATGTTGTCGTATCGGTTCGGAAATACTGCTGCTGGAAGTTGATTCCAAAGAATGGTTGTGCGTAGAAGAAAGTGCCTTGAAAAACGCACGGTGGAAGACCGCCACTCGTCCAGATGATTGAGATGAAACTTTAGTTTGTGGCGGGTTGTACGATGGTGAAAATCAGCAGCAGGTATCAGTCCGAAGAATTCCTCAGAACACTCCCCATGATAAATTGGGTAGAAGATGCACAGAGATGCAACATCTCTGCGCAGTTTCAGTGGGTCAAGTCGGACAGTAAGGCGTTGACTATCGATAAATCGAGCCGCCCGACTTTGAATGCGGTCTAACGGAAGGAGTTGGTACTGTGGCGCTCCTGCTCACAGGTGAGAACAGTATTCCATATACGGCCTGACTTGGGCTTTATATAATTTCAGGCGGTGTTCTGGCATGAAATATCGTCTCACCCTATTCAGCACTCCTAACTTTTTGGAAGCTATCTTAGCCTTCTCCTCCAGATGACCGCAAAACTGGACATCGCAAGATATATCAACGCCCAGAATTCCTAGACTCGACTTTTTATCAAGGGAAGTGCCCTGAAAGTGAGGAGATATGACAAACGGATATTTGAATTTAGGACGCGGAATTTCATGTAAGTAATCCAATATCTCTGTACGTCGTCGTCTCTGTAGGTAGATTTTGTTTTGCAATACGCAGTAGGGTCGATTCTGAGATGATTCATGAAATGGAATGAAATATAAATGTGAATATGCTAGTTGAGGGTATCCTACAAATATTTGCACAATAATCTAGATTTGTACTATTATTAGACAGCTAATTGTTTAATAGTCAGGTCAATTGTTCGGTTGTTTACATTTTCATAAAGTTCGTAAATTTGGAATTTACTAAATTTGTGACCTGCCAAGGGGTTCTTATTCTCGTTGATTGACGGCAAACGCTAAGTCCGGGAGGAGAAAATGGTACAATTGGCACATTGGCAGCTTAATTTACATAATTTATTTGTTAGTTTAGTTATCCGTTTTATTGTTGTTTACTTTAACAACATCGGGAATTTAAGGTCTTAGGATAATGGCTAGGTAATTTTACAATTGGTACTTGGAGAAAGATGAATTTGAAGAAAAGAAAAGAAAATAGTGTAGGTAAGGAGTAATAATATATATAAGGGATAAAAAAATATTAGAATCAGTAATTTTGTGCAATGGAGAACTTTTTGCTTACCTTCGTTAGCAGCAGGCGAGTGTCCTCCGGATTTGTCCTCGTTGCGAGGGGTCGTCGACCCATCTGAATGGTCCTGGAATGGGTAATTTAATGTAAAGAGGTTTTAAAATTAATAAAAAACAAGCGTCACGTTGTTCGTTCATCATATTCGAAATGGCATAACCGAAAATGATGAAATTTTGAAAAATTCGAAAATATTGTTTGTTGCAACTTGAAAAGATAATTTTCATTGTAATCACAGTATTATTTTTATTATACTCGTATGTATATTAGATATTTAGGTTATTTATAAGTATTATACGGAACTAAATAATCGAGGAATTGGCAGCGTTCCTCTTAAAGCATCACCAAAGCTAACTACGATTGTCAAGCGTAGCAACTACTGTCACAATCTCAGTAGGGGAGGCCTATATTCAACAGTCTACTGCTAGATATACTGTCCATAGTAAGTATATACTTATATAACGGAAGGACCGTAGTTAATAACTGATAACGTCATAGTCGTAGAATACTGACGGATCTGACAAATATTACATATATAGATCCGTCAGTATTCTACGACTATGACGATATGATGATGAATGAATGCAAAATCTTTATTGTTCCTTGCAAAGAATGATACAGATTATAAAGATTAACAATATGTACACAAACAAAGTTAATTACATAAATGCAAGATAAAGAGGCAGCAGTGGGCGGCCTTATCGCTAAATAGCGATTTATCTATCTCTTCCAGGCAACCTTATTATGATAATAATGATTATATTATATTGGATAATTAAATTTACAAGTGTAGTATACCCTCAATGTAATGGATCCGTTAGGGGGCAAAACAAGGTATACCGGATCAGAAAGTTAACACAATTTTTTTTTTAATATTATCGTATAAAATTTTTAAGATAAAAATGCAATGTGTCAACACTCATTTTCATCCCCATGATGTTGTGAAAGGGCGAATAAGAAAACAACACATAATAGACTTGCGTAAGTGTAAACATCCCACGCTTGACATTTTGGTAAAAACAATAGCGTAATTTAAGGTTATTTACCAGAGAGATCTGGCCTCTTAAATTCGGCGCATATATACTCCCAGATATCTTTGAGAAGCTTCGGTCATATCCTGGGGTGGGCACTATACGACTGGGATGGGCCCCGCCCACCCGGCACCCTTCTAAATACCCCTGCGGTTATAATGTAAGATGTCACGTGTGTGTTGTACTAATAGATACGTCATCAATTTGCTCAGGTGTACTCAAGTGACCGAAAAGTGGATAGTGGCGAAATGTTTCGGAAATTGAATAATTTTGTACCTCTAGCACGGAACCCCTAGAGTCTGGCCTATGTGACTCGTTTTATCGGTTTCTTGAAAATATAAGAGTATTGGTAAATATACTTTTTTATAGGTTTTGTATGGTTTTTTTCGTGGATGATAATGAAATGGTAAACCCGCCTGCGTTAACGGTATACGCTGGCGGAGCATCAGTGATGGATGGTAGGTGAGAATAAAAATGCAAGTCAGTTAGCCCATCGTAATGGATACACGTGGCATTCAGCTCGATGGTTTCCAGGGGAGACCACGTGGACAAGGTATATAGCTAGTAATGGGACTGGTAGTCCACATTACTAACAATCCCTTCCCTCCCCGGTTTTGTATGGTTTGGTTTGTTAATTATTTAAGATTTTGTCCCAAAAAAAAAAACTTATGGAGAAGGCCTATTGTTCAGCAATAGACAATCAACGGCTGATATCATCGTCTGTCGAGTCAGTGATTATAAAATTCTAATATTAAAAATGTATAAAATTATAACAAAATGCTAGTTAAGCTTACAAGTCAGAATAAGAATGTCTTGTTTTTGCTAGATACCTCGTAGCTAGTCCTGGAGCTCTTTCGCATCTACCCACTTATTTTGTTAATCAATTTCAGTAAACTGGCTTTGTTTTCTTGTTAGTATATTATAATTATATGGACATTTTTTTATCCAAATAGACTTATATTTTTAACTATGTTTATCTTTCGTCATCAGAACCATGGCAATGCTCGTTAATTAAAGTACCTATATACCATATATATATATATATATATATATATATATATATATATATATATATATATATATATATATATGTGAAAATAGAATGGTAACCACGTCCGCGCTATCGGTATACACCGACGAGGCACCAGTGAAAGATGATAGGTGAAAATGAATGCAGCTCAGGTGGCTCACCATGATGAATTCGACAAGAATTAAACATGATGATTTCCAGGAGGAACCACGAGGAGGTCGACCTAGTTGGGTATATTGCTAGTAATGGGATTTTTAGTCTCCATTACTAACAATCCCTTTCCCCCAGTACCTATATTTACACGTGTTTCAAAATTAAAACATAATAAGTAATTTTTCTAGGCACGATTTTATATTCTCAATGTCCGGGATACACGAGACGGAGTTATGAGTAAAAAATAGTGTAATTTATATTTTGTTAATAAAGTTTAATGATCAACCTTCGAATCATTGTATTGTATATGTATTTTAGATTTTTTTTTAATGAATGATAATGGAATGGTAACCCCACCTGCGCTATCGGTATACACCGGCGGGGCACCAGTGAAGGATGATAGATGAGTATGAAGCAGGTCAGTTAGCCCATCGTGACGAATTCAACAAGAATTGTTCACGATGGTTTCCAGGTGCATATTGGTAGCAATGGGGCTGTCAAACTCCCTTGATAACAATCCCTTTCCCCCCAATTTTAGATTATTGGCCACAACAGAATATCAGTGTTTTACTCTTTTAAGGGCAAAGTAATAAACTGAGTTGTGGCCATTTTGTGTTACTATGGCACACGCATAGAGGAAAGGAAAGAAAGGAAATTGTTAATTTATGTAATTGTTTTTTTTTTTGTTTTGTGCTTTTTTATTTTTATTCTTTTATCTCTTTTACTGTGTTTTATGTGTATGTTTTTTTTTTATTGTAATTTGTGTGCTGTAAGTAATGTAAATAAATTATCTATCTATCTATTTTCCAGGGGTTCCTGCTCCTTAAAATACGCATATGTACTCTCTGATATGTCTACCGATTCGCCTGTCAAGCAGTGGCATCTACTGACAAAACCTTCCTTTATGGCTAATGTTTAGCAGTGAACGATTGACGGCTTACATGACGATGATGACTGGCACTTCAGAATCAACTACATTATATTTTTAGAAGTGTTTTTTTTTTTTACATTGCTCACTGAATGTTTATTACTAAAATCCAAAATTGGCAAACACAATCTGTAGCGTCCAAATGAATACAAACAAAGCTAAAGCTGCACTTAAACGCTGAAGCATAATACAGAGTTGTGCCCAATTGTTCGAACAATAAACGCTCATTCCGCTTGTTTCCCCGGAAACGCTACTTTTTGTACTGAATATAGTATAGTTAACAGGAGCTTTACTGGCTTTACTGAACGGATATTGTGTTAGTTAGAACTAATGGAACGCGGCCCGCCCCCAGGTGGGGGTCTCCCACCCGTACCGATAAAAAGCAGAATGATTTTAACATGGTTTCGCTTTATCTCGGTCCGCTTTGTAGGGTGTAATTTAAATTCTTAGAGGGAAATACGTAGGTATATTCTTAGCTGCATTAACTTTTTAATTCATTAAGATTCACCTATTTTACATTTGATATCTTAGGCAGAGAAAATTTAAATTCATAAAGGAAAAGATAGGTGAATGGTTATAACGTCGTATTTAATAGTTAAAAAAAAATATCTTTTTTAATAACACGATTCTAGTTAAAAAAATACTCTATAATATCTCGATTATCTGGCTCAAATACAATCAAGTAATTAAATTTTTATATATTTTTTTATTATGTAAAGGGTTTTATATATATCATTTAGACATTACGATATAAAAAAAATTATGAGCTATAAAAGCATTGGATTACGTAATATCTACCTATTTACCCAATTAATATATAATACCATTTCTAAATAGATAATTAATGAAATAAGTGAAGAACAAGTCCGGATAATCGAATATTCGGACAATTGATGCTCGGAAAATCGAGATTCTACTGTACTTAAAATCTTTCATTGTATAATACTTAATTGTATTTATAGATACAATTCATGGGGTTTTTACCTATCAACTAAACAAGTACTGGGGGAAAAAAATTTAACAGTCTTCCAATTTTCTCTGGCTTGTACATATACTATCTCTCGAATAACAGGTTTATTTTTAAATCTATATCAATCTCGCCAAATGATTATCCAGATCTATATCTATAAAGCCAATGACAATTTTGTATGGCATTCATGAAACAACAATTAGGAATAAGGTTAGAATTGGGAGCGATTCCCAATAGTTTACATTGGCAAGTTACACTAATATGTATGTATGAAAACCTCATGGAATCATTACGTCGCTAGTATTACATATCGAGGGTTCGTAACGTCTCAATTCTAGCATGGATCTATTGGAATTTATTTCAAAAATAACTCCACATGTCGCGAAGTTCTAACACGACTAAGTAAATGGGGAGGGATTAGTAATGCGGTCTACCAGTCTCATTGCTAGTAATATATCCTGTCAGGTCGCCTTCCACGTGGTCCTCCCTGAAAACCATCGTGCTGAATCCCAGGTTTATTCATCACGGTGGACTAACTGACTTGCCTTTTCATTTTCACCTGTCATCTCTCATTGGTGCTCCGACAGCGTATATCGTTAGAGCAGGCGGGATCGCCATTCTATGATCATCGATTAAAAAAAAAACAATGTAAGTAACATCTAATGATTTTGTAATTTTCTATCCATGGATGGGGAAATCTCACCAAAAACTGTTTTATTTAAAGGAAATGTGGAGATCTAGCAATATGCTGTAAAGGTTCGGTAAAACGAAAAAGTTTCTTCATTGTCTCTGTTTTATGTAAAGTTATAAAGATGTAAATATTACTTATGCATTAAATAAATAACGAGAGACTTGTTATCCAGGCTCATTATTTTTTAACAAGCGATCTATCTTGTATTTACGTCGTTGGTAGAGTTGAAAAGTTGGAAAATTCGTTATACGATCATTAGATATGATGTTTTTATGTTCCATTCTTTTTTATAGGAGAATGAATAACCTAAATTGGTCTACAAAAAAAGCGACTTTAAAAGTGAACACACACATCGATAAACGACGTCTTTTAATTAAGAATGTATAGGTACATATATATATATATTTATACAACTTAGAATGGCAAACAAGCTGACGGCCCACCTGATGGAAAGTGATAACCGTCGCCTATAGTCATGAGCAGTACCATGGACATAACAGAGTATACTGTTTTGACCATGATACCCCCCATGCGTTGCCATTCCTGAGGACTCAGGTGTTATTCCTCTGTACCCAGTAAATTCACGCCATATCCCACCATTCAAACTGAAACACAGCCATGCATACACAACTGCTTCACGGTTGAAACACGAATGGGACAGAGGTACCCAAGCAATCGAGTTTTGTACAAAGTCTCCCTCTAGTGAACATATATACAACAAACATAACAAACTATGTGCATGAGGAACAATCTAAAGGATGCACGACTTAGAAATCGAATATTCAGACCGTACCCAAGCACTATCTTTAATCTATGACTAAGACGTATAAATTTACTTATATATTAGATTGGCTAGCCAAGTTGTCAGCAACAACTTATATAATTGAATTTTTTAATTGACCAGAATGAAAAATTGTGTAGTTTAAGTATATCCACCGAAACAATCGTTCCTGTATATATAGCAACTATTTTAATTACAATTCTCAATCTAAATTATCTTTAGTAGGGGTAGGCATTAAATAGCAAAATCTATATATATTAGTTACTATATCTATAACCCTTTCAGACCCAAGATTTTTTTTCTTTCAGATTAAATATGTTTTCGTGTTTTGGAGCCAAGCCATCTTGCCGGCACGCACGAGACTACTGCACCACCTAACCGCTAAAATGATTTCTTATCGGCTGGTTTACAATCTCACTATCATATTATTTCAGCTTCGTGCGTAACAATGAATTGCGCGCGGTTTTTGAATTTTTTAACGTTACAACTGACGCCCGTATCGTTCAGGTCTGAATGGGATATATTGGCTCAATAACGAATATGTTAAATGTCTGTTATCCAATATTTAATGTTGAAATGACGAACTTAATAGAAATTAATATAGATATCCAACTGCTATGGGCGATATTGAAAAACATGATCACTTTTTTTCCGCCATCAATATCTAGGCGAACCCAATATATAGATATTGGTGCGGTATCGATATTACTCATGCCTAGTCACTAGTTTTTTTTTTAATGGGTGATAAGGGAATGGTAACCCCACCCGCGCTATTGGTATACACCGGCGGGGCACCAGTGAGGGATGATAAATTAGGATGAAGCAGGTCAGTTAGCCCATCGTGACGAATTCAACAAGAATTGTTCACGATGGTTTCCAGGGGGAACCACGTGGAGGTCGACCTGATAGGGCATATTGCTAGCAATGTCGAATTCCATTGCTAACAATCCCTTTCCCACCTGCCTAGTCACTAGTGTACTACACAAAAGTAGCCTGTATTCTTCTTAATTCCAAATATTAGATATTTTATTCTGTATAGTCAACAGAAATTCAAACACAATGAGCCAACAATCTGTATTGTTGAGGTTTTCAACGGAAAATGTAAACAAACAGCCTACATAAGCCGTTATAATTGGTAGGATTCCCGTTGTAAAGACCACAAACAGTCAATAGAGATCAATCTATATTTTATGCCAGGTTTTATCCGCGACAAATTTTTTTTTATAATACATGTAGCACGATATGACTACACTGTCCTGAGCGTTTTATTATTGTTATTGCAAGACGGGCTTTTTCAGACAGAAAACCTCGAACCCTTATGTCTTAGGAGAGATTTTGTCTCACTCTGCGTATTCTACCGGTTGTTTTTTATGTTTTGTAATTATTTATATTTATAATATATCTATAAAACGGATTGTGCTCAGAGGAATTATTCAATATGATGCCCACAGCCACTTTCAACCATCGTACGGCTCGCCATCGACAGGGAGTTCGCCGTCATACCCTACAGTCTAAATGGACGCGTACAACGCGGTTTTAGATATGTTTTCTCTAACGAACACTCGGTTTATGGAATGAGCTCCCTGCAGAGGTTTTCCTAAGAGACTACAGCATGGGGTTTTTTAAACAGGGGGTAAAGAGGTTTCTTCAGGGTCGGCAACGCGCGCGTAATTCCTCTGGTACTGCAGGCGTTCATAGGCTACGGTAACCGCTTACCATCAAGTGGGCTTGTTGCCCATGCAAGTATGCTTGTTTTTTTTTATACAACTTAGAATTGCCAGTGGTATAAAAAAAAAACTTATGACACTGCTACTAAAAAACTTATCTTTTGTACCCTTTTTTAACGCACAACGGCCCAAATGAGAGGCTAAGCGCGGAAAACAGAGTCTTTCTCACATTCACGCATACCCTTTTTTAAAGTTCGCTGCAAATTTTTATCAGTGATAGGAATTTTAAGATGTTTTTTATCTCTTCAGAATATAAACTATATTTTCCAAAAGAGATATGTCGTTTATGTATGAGCGGGCAATAGCATTTACATAATTAATAACAATTAATAAAGCATACATGAACAATATAGCCCATGAATGGGATCAACTACCGATCAAGGTTTCTTGATTGAATAGGAGTAAAAGTAGCAACATGCCCTTCTTCATCACATATGTATGTACTGCGAAATATTTCAAAATAATTAGTTAACCTATTAAAGAGCTAAGAGATAACAAACAAACCTTGTCCCCACTTGCATGTCTAGTAGGTCGAGTAAGTCCCTTATTCTCAAAATCCCTCCTCATACCTCCTCATGCTATAGTGGATCATTTACGGCTCATGCGGCTAGACTATGGAACTCCCTTCCACTGCACATTCGTAAAAGTCAATCGCTGAATGTTCTCAAGAGCAGATCAAAAGAGCACCTTCTGTCCTTACGAACTTATTATGTTTATGTAGGTATATGTACGTATTTTGTATATGTAGAAATAATATTTTATTTTGTGTTTTTATGTGTGTGTGTGTGTGTTTTGAATGTAAATATATAAGTTATTTTGTATTTAGGTAGACACATTTGTTGTTTCTTAGTACTATTTTGTAGTACTAAGAAGTAATAAATATTCAATAATAGTAAGTAATAGTACTAAACTGTTTCCACTTCTTATTGTACGCACACTGCCCGCTGGTAATTAATGCTCCTTTCCATTCAAGGTTTGCTGGAAGAGAACTCTTACAAGAGTTGAGGTCGCCTGTTGTAAATTTTGTGTACAATAAAGTAGGTATAAATAAACAATCTTACTGTTATGTTTATAATATTAGTAAAAATTAGTGTCAGTCGTTTAAAAAATACGTTTTGACATGGTCAGCGTCCTGAACTGTCATGTAACCGTTTAGGAAATATCAAAGACGTCGGACTATGAGTTCTTTACACAATGATATTCATCATATCATGTCAGCCGTTGATTGTCCATTGCTGATCATAAGTCTCTACCATAAGGAAGGATTTGCCTAATAGTTGCCACGCTTGGCAGGCAGGTTGGCAATCTCTTTTACATTTTGGTAATATTTTAAAAGGGACGCTGCTGTCCATCTTTGATCATACAGTTCCTTTAGTCGCCTTTTACGACACTCACTGGAAAGGAAGTGGTGGCCCATTCTATGCCGGGACCACGTGGCAATTACTTTTATAGGATTAAAAAAGAATGCATTAATTTTTTTTACCTGACGCTGGTCCAAGTTTGCAGTGGCGGTGAGTAGATCCAAGATAGCAGAGAAGGAGCCTCTGGCAGCTCGCCTGAAACCCTCGGGTGGAGATTCAGCAGCACCGCCCGCTACGCTCACTGGGGACTGTGACCACTAGACAAAAAGATTTTAATTTATAATCGCAACAAAATTACATTATCACCTGGTCCTCATTGTTAGGATATCCATATCATGAGAAAGCATTCAAAGAACATCTGGGGACAGTCGTATAGTGTACAATGTGTGTTGGGTGTGAGTGTACAGCAAAATCACACTTGAGAAAAGTGATTTTTTCAAATTATTCATTTTATATAACAATCTATATATCAAATCCATCATTTTATATATCAAATCCATTTTATACAACATATATATATATATATATATATATATATATATATATATATATATATATATATATATATATATATATATATATATAGGGTCGCCAAAGCACGTGACATCCCTGCTATTACATTCATAGGCCGTAGCCTACGGGCTTACCGTATAACCCCGTTTACTTTCAGACGGGTCATAAGTTTGTACGCCACCATAGTTGTATAAAAAGAATTGGTATACAGTTTCCTTTTTCAATCATCTTTTGGACGATGGTGACCAGATCAATCGATTTATCAAGATAGATAATGATGCAAATATTCAACTTGGTTCAGACATACGAGTATAATAAGCATCCAAATATCTAAACTTCTTTACAAACTTGCACAATTATCTGCTAACATAAGTAAGTTCACAAGTAGATAGATAGATAGATACTCTTTATTGTTTCCTCCAAAAGATTACAATAGTAAACTTATTATAAATATAAACAATTACAAGAAATAATCACAATGAGAAAACAATGGGCGATCTTATCGCTAAGAGCGATCTCTTCCAGGCGACCTGTGGATGGTCATCATCATATCTTTTTTTTTAATGGATGATAATGGAATGGTAACCCCGCCCGCGCTATATTGGTATACACCGACGGGGCACCAGTGAGAGATGATACTCGTAGATGAGGATGAAGCAGGTCAGTTAGCCCATCGGGACAAATTCCACAAGAATTGTTCACGATGGATTCCGGGGGGAACCACGTGGAGGTCGACCTAATTATTGCTAGTAATGTGGCTATCAAACACCATTGCTAATAATCCCTTTCCCCCCATCATCATATCAGCCGTTAATTGCCCGTTACTCAACATAGGCCTCCCCATATGTGAGAGGTCTTGCCAGTAGTTGCCACGCTTGGTGTGTGGGTTGGCAGCTGCAATTAGGCTTTGGTGATGTTTTAAGAGGGATGCTGCTGCCCATTCCTCAACTATTAAGTTTCCTCTTACGATACCCAAGGGAAAGGAAGGTGTAGTCCATTCAATGTTAAGACCATACGGCGTTGATAGTAACACACAAGTGAATAGGTAAATTAGGTATTTATCTGTTTGGAGTTCAAACACACCTCCTAGGGGGGAAAGGGATTGTTAGTAATGGGGTAAAATAGCCCTTACTTAATTACTAGCAATATATCCTGTCAGGTCGACCTCCACGTGGTTCCCCTTGGAAACCATCGTGAACAATTCTTGTTGAATTCGTCACGATGGGCTAACTGGCCTGCTTCATCCTCACCTATCATCCTTCACTGGTGCCCCGCCGGTGTATACCGATAGCGCGGGTGGGATTACCATTCCATTATCACCCATTAAAAAAAAAACACACCTCCTATATCGAAGTATAGGCGGCAGATTGCTAATCATTAAACTAATTTGAACACTATCAAAACTCTACTGTCATATTGAGTGTATTTACTAATGGAGTTCGTTAATTAATTTATGTGACTTTAATGCCATGATCATAATTTCAAATTAAAACTAATGCTTTCGCTGGCAACGCAAATCGCCTGTTCCTAGGGTGCAAAATATTCATTCGTTACTATTGGTATCTTAGAGAATTAGATGAACATATCTGAGGACAATCCAGTCCCCTCGAAACGAGGGAAGGGGACTTGCGAGAAATATATTTTGCCAGGTCGACCTTCATGCAGTCCCTTCAAAAATCGTCGATTACTGGTAAAATGGTTATGAAGACGTTAGTAAAAAAGTTACAAAATGAATTTGGGCAAGACATTTGGTCAGAAAATAAAACGACCGTTTGATTAAGACAGTGGAGTGGAGAGACCAAAGGAAAGTCTATGACCAACAGTGGGTACACGGGGCCCAATTAAACACATCTGCATTGGCGTATTTGAGATTAATTTCCAGGAAGGCCTGGTCCTTTAAAAAAGGCGCGTATACAGACACACATATCTTTGCAAAACTTAGCTCGCATCCTGGGATTGGCACCAAACAATTCTGGGATATTGGATTCTGTGAGCTGGTTTTTCGTCAACAGATGTCTCTAGGTAACAAAGTAATAATGCAGTAATTTTATCAGCTATATTTGCACGTAGCTGGATGTGTGTTGAACTGAACGCGATGATATCACTCACACTTGACATGGTTTATGAATACTTAACCGGTTTGGTTAATAATTGAATCAGGCCCCGGGCGCGGCGTCCGAGCCTGATGAAACTTGGAAGTGGCCTTAATGTCGGGATAATTCTGCAAATATTATACTTAAAAGTCACATAGAAAGCGGGTTTAAAGAGGATTTTTGTAGGGTGTAGTTTAAGACTTTTAATAAACATACTTTTCTTTATATTTCGCTTAGCTGACTCGGGAAAGGGCGTTTCGGCCTCTACCGCCATTTAATAGATCCATTTTTTGTTATCGGCAGATAAATTCTCCTATCACTAAGGTAAGGTAAACTAAACAATAATTTATTTACAAAATTTTATTAAAATTGATTTAGAATGAATATCGTACTTATGTATTAAGAAGATAAGTATTTTTTTCTAATAATTATTTATTTATTTTTTCTGTAAAGAAAATGTGTGCCCATGTAAGCCTCTCATTCAGTCGTTGAAAAAAATTCAATTCAATTAATTAAATTAAACATTTATTTTGAATAGCTACCCCAGTTATAATAGGTTGTAGGTACTTATACCTCGTATGGGCAGGCAAGGAGTAAAATAACAAGGTAAAATTAAAAATAATTTGACTGCTATAAACATGTTATATCAGTACACACAGCCAATGAAGGTAGTAAAGCAGAGTGTAAAAGAGCTCAAACGTTACGACGCAAAATGTAGTTAAACCGATACAAGTTTGCGCTTGAGTAAAAGTTTTTTTTTTTATAACTACAATAGCAAACAGGCATACTGACGTAATAGGTTTTTTTAATGGCTGATAATGGATTGGTAACCCGACCCGCGCTATCGGTATCATCACTCACCGGTGGGGCACCAGTTTGTGATGATAGATGAGGATGAAGCAGGTCAGTTAGCCCATCGTGACAAATTCAACAAGAATTATTCACGACGGTTTCCAGGCGGAACCACATGGAGGTCGACCTAATAGGGCATATTGTTAGCAAGGGGGCTGTCAAACTCCATTACTATCAATTCCTTCCCCCCCCCCCCCTCTCGACGTAATAGGGTTATCGTAACCTAAGGACATCTGTAACACAAGGGATGCCACGTGCACGTTGCTGATCCTTAAGAAACTTTAATATGCTCTTTTTAAGTAAACGAAATTGTATCGAAATGGGTAAAAAAACGTTTGATATTTGGTTAAAAATAAATAAATCATATCTGGCAATTACGTGACTATCTTTCAGAATATTAGGGTGAGCTCTCTGTTAATAGTACCTACATATTATATTATAGTACATATATTACCTTTCTCCGATTTGAGAACTCGATTCCACAATCCTAACTGTGAGTTTAGAATTTCACAGCACGTTATTGAATTCAAACGATTCAAGTTCATATTATACTCGGAACGGCGAAGGAATTGAAATAAAATTTTGTGGAATAAGAAAGAGGTATAAGGGAAGAGTGTAGTGTTAAAGTATGGGTAGAGACGATTACTTTCAAACGATCTAAAAAAAGGATATTAACAAAGACAGGATATGCTAATCTGTTTATTTCTAGAAGTTCATGTTACTTGATTAGTAATATGAATATAGAAATAAAAATAAATATGACATAAGTAGATAGTTTCTCCATTTGTATGGTATTTATTGGATTATAGTGCAGTACTATGGTCCCGGCATAGAATAGGCCACCCCTTCCTTTCTCGTGGGTATCGTATCGTAAGAGGCGTCTAAGGGAGGGCGAGGGATGTGTACGAGCGTCCCTCTTTAGACATCTCTAAAGCCTAACTGGGCAATCCGCCTACCAAGCGTGGCAACTACTGGAAAATCCCCCCTAGGGGAGGCTTATGTTCAGCAGTGGACAGTGAAAAGCTGATATGATGATGAGATAACATTATATATATATATATATATATTCTTCATTGCAATTGTATTACATTGTTAATGCATTTATAAATATCGTAAGCAAGGGTGGACTTATCTTTGACAGAGATCTTACATATCGTCATAGTCGTAGAATACTACCGGATCTATATATATTTGTCAGATCCGTCAGTATTCTACAACTGTGACGATATATTACAGCCATATGCACAGATATACTTGTAAATTGTAAGTCGAATTATATTCAATCTTATACGCTATTTCACTTAGATATTATTTGAAATTACATTTTGGCATTTAGAACAGGTACGTACATTATTTTAATTTCCCACGAGCGCAGATACCATATGCTAGTACCACGAGTAAAGGCTTACATTGTATTTAGTTGTATTATGTTTAAAATTCATGTTAAATATTTGTTATTTCAACGGCGATTAAGTACTTAATAAATCTTCCATGTTGATGTATGTTACACTAGTACCTATGAATAAAATAGCTAGTTAAATAGCTTTGATCATGTGATTATTTTAGCTATATTTGACTAAGTTACATAAGGATTTTCTATAAATCATTAGTACATTTAATTTGTGTGTTGATATATCAGTTATGTAGAATATTATACCTACAGTCTACGGCTTTGTTTGTCCTTTGTCTTTCTTTTAATAATATTTATTTACTTATTTATCCAAAGCACAAAATACCTTATATAGGATAGATACTACATAATACATAGTTATTATATCTCATAATGCTTATCGTTGTTT